ATCCATAGCTGCTAGCGAAAAATGTGTACGAAATTCGTTTTGTACTTCATACAAACATACATATTTGTGTTGATGCAGACAGCCACCTCCTGCTGCTGCTGCTATTGCAACCAATAACAAGTTCTTCGGGCACGTTTACATACATAAATATGTACATGTGTATGTATGTGTATATCTGGTGGGCAAACAGAATTTTTAATTTTAGCAAACACCTTAAAATTTTGTAAATATTAAAAAAATGCTATCACAGAAAATATTGAAACCCAAAAAACAAAAAACAAAATGCGCAAAATAAAATGAAAATAGCAACGATGAAGATTTTTATAAATAATTTTGGTGTTTAATAATTGCAACAACACAAAAAATGTATGCTCAGTAGGTTGCTCGCGGTTTTTGCATGCAACAGTACTATGTACGTAATGAGTACATGCCAATGTACATATTTATCTATTTACATACATACATACATATGTGTGCAAATTACCTGCACTCATCCATACACACGGTTAACATATGTATGTACTCTTCTGCACTGCAAGTGTTAAAAACAACTGCTAATTTATTTCGCTTATTAAGCTTCATAAACACACTTGAACTCGGCGAAATATGTCTGCATTTGTGTTTTTATTTCAACTTCTTAACCCTTGTGCGAAACCTTAGATACAGCTGTACCTATGTATAACCAACTTTGAACGTTGAAAGAAAGTTGTTTTATCATTTGAGTATCCTAAAACATTTTTTTTTTGTAATGTACAATGACGAACAAAAGTATGGGCACAGAGAAATTTTCGCAATACATGCAAAGTTTTTTATTCTAATTTTTTGTCGATCATTTTTTATCAAAATATAGTTCATACTACACCAAAAAAAACATAAAAATAAAATCTCTAAATTTCGTGAACAACTTTGGAAAATTCAATAAATTTGTGTACGAATTTGCAACTTTCTATTTAGATTTTTTGGAAAAATTCTAACAAGGTTGCAGTTTTCAAGTTTTCGCAAAAGGTTTAAATGTAAATTTTTAATATAAACTTTTTTTTGTTAAATAAGTAAGTCCTTTCACAAGTGCTTACCACAATTATACATCACCCACATATTGACAAATTTTGAGTATTATTTTTTATTATTTAATTTTAATTCTTTTTTTATAAAAAAATTGTTTATTCCTTAACAAAAACCGTGCAATATTTGAACAAAAAAATTAACAAACTTTCATAAAAATTTCAAACTTTTTCATGGGATTTTTTAGAAGATTATGAGTATGCAGTTTTTTAGCCCATTCAATTTATTAAGGTAAAGAAAATATTTGAAGTGGCCTTATTTGTAGGACTTACTGTAAATTTTTGGCAATTTTATTATTTTGTTTGTTTATGGTGTCGATCATTCTCTCCATATAAAAAAAAAAAATCGTCTTGTGGGGCTACACGGTCAACAATGGCCATTGAGACCACAATAACTTCTGCAGGAGCTGCTACGACGAAGAATAATCTGATTCAACAGTTTACTTTGCAATTGCCCTGCACAGTGTAGGAAAGACAAAGTATTCTTGATGCAGAATTTTTAGGCAACCTGTATAAGCCCACCTGGAAGTTTAGAATAACGCGGTTGCTAAGATATGTACGTCCCACGAACTGCTTTCAAGCTAAGTAGGTGTTCTGGATCCATGCGGTATCACATAGAAACCTTCATCGGATCTAGTTGGGCTGGCTTTCCTCTAAGCTCAGCAGCTACATCAACCTTACTCTAACCCAAGTGATAACACAAGGTATTTTTGCGATGACCAAAATATCAAATCTTTATAGTCGGAGGAACACTAATCAAATCTTATATCTAGCGAATGATGTCTTGAATAAAAAGCCTCATTATTTTGCCTTAATAAATGATAGCCCCGCTTACAGAAATTGCAGGTATTAGAAACCATGTTCGGCCGTAAAAGTTAACTTTGGCTTTAGTATGGCTACGGCTAAACCGAAATCCTCCAAAGCCTTTTCATTTTTATCCCACATCGTCTACATCTCTGCTCCATATAAAAGGACCGTAAGAGGAGCTGTAATCAATGACCGATTTTGATAGAATGCTCCTCGACTTTCCCCAATGCAGTATATTAGAATTTGCTTTAGGATTGCAGCTTTACTACACTTGGTATTGGACCATTCGCATAAAACGTGAGCTTAAGCTACGACAGAATTTTCAGTGTGAACTGTTGAGCTTAAGCTCACTTTATCGGTACACAAATTTTGTCTGAGCTGGGCCGTGCTAGATGGAGTAAGAACGAGTTAAGTACTTTAGTTTGTATGGCCTTCGTTTTTAAACATTTCCCAAAATTGTGTTTTGGAAGTAGTTTTACATTGCATTTTCACTTTTTTCCTCTTTGGTATTTCACTTTCACTTTAGTCTAGATGGATACTTATAATTAATGACATTGTTTCTGCAAATAATCTATAGGGACACATAAAGCTATATCGTAAGAATTTTGAATTAAATGGTACAAAATATGTGTGGATTTTTTTTTTTTTTTTTTTGCTTAAAATGATTTTATGTATATGTATGCAGTCATTATATGCCTTTGAGTGTTATTTTAAACTCAACATATCTTTTGACTTTCCTCCTTTAGAAGGCTATAAGTGTTCTCGTTTATTTATACTTAGTATGTAGGCACACGCATATGTACATTAGGGTGGTCCTTAAATGAAGAAAGCAAAATTTTTACATACCCTACGTCGATGCTACGATAGTCGAAGATATCACATACAAATTTGTATCCCGATTGAAGTCGGTTAAGGCGTGTCGCACAGTGGTCAATGTTCAGATTACCTTATGAAGACATCTTAACCGACTCCAATCGGCGCCAAAATTTATAGGTGATATCCTCGACTTTAGTAGTATGGATTTTGAGTATTAAATGAAAAAAATATATATTTTTAATTTTTTGAGTCCCTAGAGGCATCTGGCCGTTGACCCCTTTGCGACACGCTTTAACAGACTCCAATCGGGACCAAAATTTATAGGTGATATCTGTGACTGTGGTATTACCGATTGAGGGGGTGAGACTGAAAAAAGTCGTTCATTTTGTTTTTCTAAAGATCACCCTAATGTACATACATACTTACATTGGTAAGCATTTATGTACATATGTAGTACTTATATGCCTACAATCGCATACTCATATCAACTACATATGTACATATATACATATATCCAATTCACTGAAATGAATTGCCAATAAACTAAGCAATTCGTAACATTTTCCAACCAACAACTATCTGCTAATGATAGCACATCATGCGAGATCGAAATGAAAAATTCCATCCAAAGAGTCGTGCTCTAGAGAACATTGAGAACATTTAACTGGTAGTATTTATTAGCAAATATATATGTATGTAACTACATATATCTCTATATATCTCTACGAGCAAGTCTTTCTATTTAAGTATCCATCCATATACATACTTATGTAGGTAGGTATGTACCTAGCTACATACCACGTTGATCAATTAAATTTCTTCCATCAACCAAACAGTCAATAACCTCGGCTGCCAGTGTGGCAATGGAAATGTGTATTCGCACTAAAAAGTGACAATATGTTTCAACAGTTATGTGCTCGTAGATGTGTGTGTGTGTGTGTGTGTCTGTTGGGCAAAAGTGAGAATTTTCGTTCGAAATGCTTATCATGGCATGAATTTTACTTTTCCACAATCAACATCAAAATATTTGCGCACAAGTTAGGCGTAATCATTGTTATTTGGTACAAAGTTTTCATGTCAGCACTTAGCTTTGATCTGTCTATATGTGTACATATACTTCATAGATGAGTACATATTTACTTTACCGATGCACGTTTGCACTTAAAATGGATTTTTGTTATGCTTAGAATGCTAATGCCTGCTCGATGCTTGCCACAAACAAATTAGCAAACTTAGTGCACACACTTGTGCACTCGCAAAATGAACAAGTGCACTCTGCCATATACAGGCCCACACACACACCCACACTCAGAATTGTGTAGAAAGATATCTAATGGCGGTCATTTACAAGTTGTGAATGAGCAGAGGTTCAGCATCATTTACATTGCCTATGGTTTATGTAAAGTTGTCAACATTACGGTATCTTACTTAAGTACATAGATATGTATATGAGAATATATCACGAGTTGTTATATTTTTCGACAAAAGCGTGTTTTTGGTTAAAAATGGTGGCACACTTATCTTTGACAATGCATTATCTTCAGGTTTGCCTAAAGAACGAGATTCCGGCGCGAAATTGTATTTCAATGAAAACCTAAAAAAGATATACTAAAAAGAGTTAAAATAAATAACTCGTGCTCATATACCCGTAGTTGCGTATGTAACGCATACGACCCGTAGCCCGATACACAGTCACCTAACACCTTAACTTAAAAGTTATATTATTTAAAAGTAATTAAATATTGGCGTGGAATATTTTTCTACAGTATTCTTCACGAATATATATATATATATTAATTTCGAGTGCGCTAACACAAATTTTAAAATTGGAATTTTTGTTTCGTAAATCATCGTCATCTTATAATCAATGTACATAATTTTTTTTTCATTTGGTGGCACACTAGTTTTATTACTCTAGATTGGTTCGTTTTGGCAAGAAGAACATTTTCACCGTTTATTTGTGACATTTTGAAGTATCTTAAAAAAAATAGAAAATAGCTGCGACAGATATTCTGCGTGCTACCATTTATTTTTTTTTTAATTTGGTGGCACACTCTGGAAAGTTCGCAGATATGCTGTATTTGATGCCGACTTTCATGGACTCTTATATGAACATTGTATTAGACAATTTCCCAAAGTTATTAAAAAAAAAAACAATTATGATTTTTTCGAGTTAAATTCAAAAAATTTGTGATTTCGGTACTTTTTCGCCTAAATAAACATTTAAAAAATACTATTCGAGTGAACATTTAGAAAATTTAGGATCCGCCTTGGCAATATTTCATCTAATAGCATTTATTTTTTTTATATTTCCAGGCGATGTTTATGTCGAATATATACAGGGACTTCCACACCTAACAGTGCCGCTGCCAAGCAGAATGGAAAAATGCCGTTTTGCTTTGAGGCCTGTCTCGCACAAAGTGGGCGATTTAATCGAAATGTTGAAAATTGAAGATCACGGTATTGATCGAGCGGTTGTGCTGAATAAATGCGGTGTACGGATAGCGTCCACATGCGCCATCGATAGCCTTATGGATGAGCCATTTTGGTGAGTAAAAAATAAATTTAATTGAAATAAATAAAGCAAAATTAACGTCGAAAATGTGACGTAGTAGGTGTTCGCAGAGATGGAACCGCTATTAGGAAAAAAACCCTTTTTTTTGGGTATTAATCGGACTAGGAATCAAACCCAAACTACATATTTTTCGGTTTGGGCCGAGTCCAAAAAACTTCGCCCAAGCGCCTCTCTCCTTTGCAAATTTGTGCCAGTTATTCATCCCGAATGCAGACAGGTTCCTCTGTACTTGGTTGTTGTTGTTGGAGCGGCACTACTCAGCCCCACCTGAGGCAATTTGTCCCACCAAAAACTGCTTGCTGAGAATTTTGTTATGCTCAGGCGTCCTGTCGATGTCCGGAGCGGAGCGTTCTGACAACTTTGCGGCTTCGCCCACTGCATTCAACAAGTCTCCGGCAACCATACAGGCGTAGCATAGTTCAGAAGCGGTCAGTCAATTAAGTTTTGAGATATAGAAGTTAAATAGTGAGGGAGTTGTACAAATCTGTCCATGACCACCTTCGGCAGTCAAAAGTGGACCCAGGCTTTTTAGATATCCATAGAACTCATCTCTGCTCTTGAAAATTCGACAATCGACCAGAGACTCACCGTAAACAAATCCTGGAATAGTGTCAAGAAGATTATTTAATTGGTAAATGCCACTCATTTGGAGAGCTTTGACTCAATCTTTACCCACCCACTCCGGAAAGGTCTTGCAGCTCCTTTAATCACTCGTCCTTGGCGGCTTCCAACCATGGATACAAAATTTGTAATTTTTTAGTTTCAACTTTAAAAATTTTCTGATGTCATGGTACAAATATTTCTGCAGAAGTGATCAGAATAAAGTAGAAGAGTAGTCGATGCAAAAGTTTCTATGCACAAAGGATCTGTGTGACCATAAAACCGTTTTTTAAGCATTAGCTTTGTGGACAAAACAGACTTCAATAACTAAACTTAATTACCTTATACGCATCGAAAATCTATTAAACAGTTGGCATAAAATCTAACAATAAAACAAATTTTATTTCCTTTCAGGCTACAAATAAATGACAACAAATATGAAGTTATTCCTCCCAAAAGGAAAAAACTCGACTCAGAAGACTTAAAGAGGCTAAGTGATGTTAGAACTTTAGTAGCACAAGTACGTTTTGCTATAACAATTTATACATACTAGTACTTGGATAATACATAATCAATTATCTCATTACAGTTATACGAAGCTTTACACGTCGGCGAATATCATTTGCACAAAGAGCAAGAGTTAGTGAAAAAAATAGAAAATTTAAAATTTGAAATATCACCACTAGAAATGGTAAGACATTTTCACGATTTTAAGCAAAACAAGCATATATCTATATAGCAATTTCTTGTGCTTGTAGGAAAAGCAAGAATTAACAAAACTTGCGGAACGTAAAACTGTCATCGCAACATGGGTCGGTCTCAGCTTGATGGCGGTGCAATTTGGCGTTTTAGCGCGTCTCACCTGGTGGGAATATTCTTGGGATATCATGGAACCCGTCACATACTTTGTAACCTATGGCACAACGATGGCCATATATGCCTACTACTGCCTAACAAAAACGGTAAAGATGTTTAACTTTTTTTTAGTTTCTTAAATTAGGTATTTTGGTTGTACGGTAAGAGAAAAAATGTATTGCAAAACTCTGAGCTAACTGAGCTACTCGGTTCAGTTGGGCAATGTGGACCGAACATAACAGTTATGAAGGAAATGTGCTACAACTATGTGATACATACCATTCGATTTCTTTTTTTTTAACGAGAATCAAATTTGAAAATAAATTTGTATTTGTAATTTTTATGCAAAGTTAAAAAAATAACAATTATTTTTGATTTTTATTTCAAAAAACCAAAAAAGCAATTATTTTTAATTTTTATCTAAATAATATGTAAATCACAGTTATTTTGGAGTTTTTTATTATATGTCCTAGATAACAATTATTGAAGACATTTATTTATAAAAGTCATTAATACAAATCAGTCACTGACTTTTATTTTTTAAGCGATGCGTATAAAAGTCATTATCATTTTTCGCAGTTAAGAAGTTGTTGGAGAACCAAAGTTTACTAAGACTTATACAAATGACTTTTATAAGTATGATTTTAAAAATAAATGAGAGTGACTGGTTTATATTGATGACTTTTACAAATAAAAGTCTTCAATATCTGTTATCTAAGATATATAATTTAAAAATCAAAAATAACTGTTATTTTCAGATTATTTAGATCAAAATTAAAAATAATTGTTATTTTGGATTTATAAAGTAAAACATCGGAAAAAACTGTTATTTAAGGAGTTATTAAATAAAAGTCAAAAAATAATTGTTAAAGAGCGATTTTTTTAATAAAAGTTGTAACTGTTACGATCCCTGTTGGGAAAAGATGTGAGCTCTATTAAGTCCGCTGTCTGGCTCTTCTTTTCTTCTGTTTAAACGAATGGTATCGACCTTGAGGGCCAGTTTCGAGCCTTCTCACTTTCATCAATGATGCCAAAAGAGTACCTGTAGATGTAACACTCCAACGTGAAGAGAGGGCTAGAAATGGAATTTAGTAGAATTTTGGTAGGCTTTTCTAAACACGAAGAAAGAGAAAGGGTAAACGTATAGGCAAAATAGGTGGGTGTCAGTATTTCTCGCAAACTTACCACACGCTTTGATGAGCTTTAGTAGTATATTGCGGTAAATAGAACATAACTCGTTCATCTAAACCGAAAATACTTTGTACTGTCCTCCAAGCAAAATGTACACAAAGGATCATCGATGATGGCTATGGTAACCATATAGCGTTACCATTAATTGTGTCCTGTAATCAGTCCTAACAGTTCTCGCAGCTCTCTTTCTCTGCCTGAGCAGAAAATTCTGCATCATCCTGTCTGTCCTTTCAGGAAACTCTTGGTTATTTTAAAGCTGTCTGTATTGAGGCAACAGTTCTCAAGATCCGTTTTCTTGAAATCGATGAGATCCCTGCTGCACTGGTCTGTATTATTGACATGCTAATTAGCTCCAAAAAATCGCTTAACGTACCTTCCTGGAGCGCTATTGAGGAGCGACGAGCGGTTTCCAAGAGCTTGCGAATATCTTGGTTGTCACTTTGGATCCTGATTTGAAGTGTGCGCCACTTTTTCCAATTATCCAGTCTGCTACTTTACGCATTACAAAGTCTTCCGATTAAACGATCGTTCTCATCACATACACCCAAAGCAAAACAGCATCTTTAGTTACCCTCCAGGGGCAGACAGCTTCAGTTATATTTTCAGTCTTGAAGCCGTCTACATATCAAGTTCTTACCGAGCTCTCCAAGAAAGTTTATGGATCTGTCTATTTCTCCCATGTAGGATAGCTGGTGACACTGATACTGATACTGTCTACCAAAAGAGAGGCTCCGCAGAAAGACGAAGTCTAATGTTTCTAAGCATCGGAAGGGTCACAACTTCCAACCATAAATTTTAGGGTATACCTTTGATGGCATCCTCTGCTTCTCCGCGCATACCGTAATTACTAAGTACAGAGCCACAAGGACGTTGCTTACGTTGTACGGACAAGCTCAAACCAATTGTGGTGGGACGCAAAAGCTGGATTAAGACAATTTCATAGGAAGTTTTACCCCATCCTCATATTTTTTTCTACACATTCACTGAGAGACAATCACCACCTTCAAAGAATCCCCCCCGTGAATGTTATCTGATTTCGACCACCACCCATAGCAGACGAGGATTAAAGTCTGAATACTGTAGCAGACTCAAATCTTACTTATACAGACTCGACCCTGACATAAGCAATACATATCCGGTCTGTGAAGGTACCACCTCTTCACTCAGCCCCTAAAACCAACCAACCCGATCATTACGCTCAAACCAATTGTAGTGGGACGCAGAAGCTGGATTAAGACAATTTCATAGGAAGTTTTGCCTCATCCTCATATTTTTTTCTACAGTGTTATGGCGGATTTCCACCAGGCAGTAAATTACACAAATTTTAATGACACACTTGGGCATTAAAAAATACCTGCGCCGTTGTGTTAAGAAAAGGTATCATTAAATATATTTCTAAATTTTTTAAATTGCACACATTTTTGGTAATTTCAATGCCTGGTGGACATTCGGATAAAAATGTACAAAATTCTAAAGATAGGTGATCTCAATTTTTAAAGACTATTTTTCATGTAAATTTTTTTTCTCTATCTTCTAGGAATACAATTTCGAATCGGCTAGAGATCGCCTCTTCCTCATAAGCATACACAAAAAAGCCAAAAGGAAGAACTTTGACATTGAGAAATATAATATTCTGAGACGCCAAATAGCCGAAGCTGAATACGATTTACGTCGTCTGCGCGATCCCATCAATTTGCAACTGCCGCCACATATTGATCGTTCACAACGGATTACATCAAACGAGCCACCAACGAGTGTCACCAGCGAAAAGAAACCCGTCAGCTTCCGACTGCCCTTCTTAGAACCGAAAAATTAAATAATTGTTATATGTACATACATGCAAATATAAACTGCACAAATTATGATTTCAACATAAAGACAAGCAACAACAGAAATACATACCAATTATATTGAGTTTAACGAAAGCACAAACTGGCTGCAAGCAAATACATACAAACAAATACATACATATTATTGATAGAACCCAGTGGGAATTAGGAGCACGTAATAATACCTTATTAGCAACTTACTCTTCACCTGGCCGTCATTACCGAACGTCCCTTACTTTTACAAAGGCATGGCCGCCTTATGTAAGTAGGAATTTAGAATGTACATTTGGTATCAGACATACTTCTGAGCCGCTTTACAAAGTAAGTTACGTGTAATGCAGAGCAGTCGCTCGGAGTAGTTCGGTGCTTGGAAATAACTTCGGCTGCACGTTATTTTGCAACTGACAACGTAATGTGTCTTCGGAGGTGTTCATTTTGCCCTTTACTAGTAGATGACATTGGCCATGATGACAATTTTGGTACTAAAAACTGAAAGAAAACATGGCTTACCTCGCAAGGTGTTTACCTATTTTCCCAGTGGGAAGAAGCACATACGTAAATACATACAGACAAACACGCGCATACACACACAACAGATAAGCAGATTTACTTTAATTTTAAAATGTAGTTGTTGCATATATATGTATGTATTTACTATAATAATAAGATTTGTTCATCGTTCATTTGTTCAGTGGTTTTAGTTATTTTATTTCTATATACACATATGTACGTTGCTATAATCAAACCTAATGAGAGTTGTTATTTTTCGCCTTAACCCTTGTATACCTATCCATATTGATTAGGAGAATTTTAAGTGACCTTCCTATTGCATGTATGTATGTAAGTATATATATATATGAATGCTTATGAGCTCGATGGTTTTTTAAGCTAGTTAGATTTTTATTAAATTATAGATATTGTTGCAAGGCAATTGTTTGGTTGTTTTATCAACTTACATACTTAAGGTGTAATAAATGACAAAATCGCAAATCAAAGACGGTATAACTACTTACATACATACATATTATGTACTGAATTACCTATCGACTATGTAATAAGCATTCATTGTTGGTGTATATTCGCTCAAATGTGCTAAAACTTTATATGTTCACTAAGCCACGGATGTATACTTTTATGTGTAAGTGTAAATCTCAGCTGTAAACGCATACTAACTTTACGTATAGTTGTTAAAAACTGTTGTTAACAGCCTTGTAAAATATCTACATCCTTCTCACTAGTAAATTATGTTTATTATTTATTTCTAAAGAAAAATCAAACAAAAATAACAACAACAAAAAAACAATGTACTTTAATTTAAGCGGTTGATTCAAATAAATGTTTATTATTTAATAGTTAACATTTTTATTCTTTGTTTTTCAACCAATATGCCGAATATCCACTAGGCATTGAAATGTTAAAAAAAAGTTTGTGCCATTTTTATTTAATTTTTTTATTTTATTCTACTTTAATTAGGGGAATTTGGTAATTGAAATATGTACACAATAATGGATGTCAGACCAATGAAAAAGGTTTTAGCTTGAAAATATTTTGAAGAGGATTGCCAACAGTTTATAAATTCGAACTTAATTAAACTATTCAAAAGTTCACACCATGCAAAACATGAGAAATGGGCACCAATCGTCAACGGCAACAAATTGGCGTAGTGACAAAATCATCAAAAATTCCCACACTGTTGCATCTCGCGTCAAAAAAAAAAAGTATTCTCCAAAAGCATCTAATTTATGCCAAAGATAGAATTGAAAAAATAGGAAGCGGTATAGCGAGGGAATAAAATTCATTTCCTTTTAAGATTCTAATTTTACATTAAAAATTAAGTTAAATATTAAACAAGTAATTTTTAAGCAAAAAACAAAACCGACTTGCATTCTCATATAAAAATTTAAAAGTACCGTTAACTTCTTCATGTTCCACTGATCTGAAGTACCAATTTTTCTTAAAAAAAAAATAATTATAGAAATCGGTTAACGGGGTCCATAATTACGCGGTAACATACATAAAAAAAATATATTTCGACGAATTGATAACCTTCTCCTTTTTTTGAAGTCGGTTAAAAAGAATGAAATTGTTCCAAAGTTACAATAAAACACAATTTTAATCGTTAAAACATTTTTCTAACTTCTCTATGACTACGGGCCAATACTTCTGGGTGAAAAAATTATTTTATGCATTTGCAAAAAAAACGCATTATTTCAGAGAGTCCAGGTTTTTATATTCTCCTTCGCAAGTTAAAAGTCCGTACTTTTAAATAGAAGAATAAAAAAAATATTTTTTTTTTACCGACTTCAAAAAAGGATGAGATTATCAATACTTCGGAATATTTTGTTTTTATGTATGTTACCGCATAACTTTGGATTATGTGAACCGATTTCCATACTAATTTGGTTGGAATTGAATAAAAATTACTTGTTACATACAGGCATGTGAAAAATAATAGGGACACGACATTTTGACCAGTTCGGCTATTTCTCTTTTGATTGTTTAATGTTTATTATTTTTTTTTTTTAAACAGCTCACTATCTCACAAAACCCATGTAAGTCCCAATCATGATAAAAATATAGTAAGGTAGAACCGCTGAGAGTCACTTTTAATATTCTTGACGTTTCCAAACAATTTAATTTTTAAATTTACTCACAAATTCACACACACATTTTCATTTTCAATCTCAAGCGATAACAATTTCAAACAATTTCAATTCTTTATTTTCACTTTTATATGATTTTAAAATGTCGGCAAACTTCAAAAAAAAATCATGGCCGACAAATTGAGAGAACGGTTCTACCTTGCTATGTTTTTATCATGGTCCCAATTTCAAACTGTGCAGAAAAATTAGAAAAATGCAGCAAAATTTTAAAACAACAACGAACTTTTTACTAAGAATTTCAAGAAAAAATCTATGTATGCAGTTTTGTTGCCCATTAAATGCTAGGAAATGGAATTTTTAAGTGGCTGGTGTTATTATTTTCTTAATAAAATGTTTGTTGTTGTTTTAAAACTTTGTTGAATTTTTTTAATTTTTCTACAAAGTTTGAAATTTGGACATAAATAGTTTTTGTTGGATGGTGAGCTGTATTTTTATAAAAAATAATAATAAACATTAAACAACCAAAAGAAAAATAGCCCAAACTGGTGAAAATGTCGTGTCCCTATTACTTTTCACATGACTATATATTCTTTCAATCCATTAAAATTTACCTTTTTTTCAAATTCATAAAAACAAATTGTTTTCTTTTGGAAAACCGTGTTTCTGTTTGTTTAATTTTATTCCAAAATATCTTTTTAGATTTTTTCCACCAAGGCGGCACTGTGTGTTAGAGGGAAAAACTAAAACGCAACTTTACTATATTTGTCCCCTAGTTTCGCGAGTGTATTGGTTTTGGCTTTTGTAAAATTTACTATCGCGCAATATTATATCTATTTTTTCTAAACAATTTAAGTTTATGATATTGTTTCCTTCACACTACACTATTTTTTATTAGTGAATATATGTATGGATATAAAATATATAGGTATGTAGGTATGTACATAATGAGACTACATTTCTATGTATAAAAGCCAAAATTTTTGTTTTTGCAACTTCCCTAGAAGCATTTTTCATTCCCTTAGAGTTGTTCTACATCGAAAAAAACATACCCCTATTTTTTTATTTTGAAATCAAAAAATATTTAGAGATCGCTCAAAGCTTTCCATTTATTTTATATGGGAAAAAACAACATTTCGTAGAAATGGTATGGAATTCTTGAAAATCAATATTTTTCGATCGGAAAACTCTGGTTACTATTTCACAAGTATGTATTTTTGGACCACCCTACTAGTGCCGATATATAAGCAGAACCTTAAATTTGTATATACTTACATATACATATATAGTATGCATTGCTATTTATGTAGCTCTGTAGGCATGCTAGCCCAAACTAGCGTTACTTTCGCAACCAACGCGCATTTACTTTCCCTACGCTCTATGCTTAAAAATACTCGTATCTATTGTAATCAACTAGAATTAACAAAAACTGCTATGGCTGTGGTCACAAGTAGAATTTTATTTGAATTTAATATAACTCAATTCCACTACATAATGCTTGAGGCGCGTCTGACCAAAAGGTAATAATATCCACAATGCTATAGGAGGGTTCACGATGTGTATACTATAAAATTTATAGTAAGAGCAAAAAACCGAACTCAAAATGTACTGTAAATATCATGAGTGCTCCTGACTTCTGATGAATGGTTTTTATCAGGCCGGAAGGCAAGGTTAATTTCCCCAAGACAGATGTCCAAGCTTACAGGAAACGGCACGAAAAGAAGTTACCGCTAATTTCCTATGCTTTTACCTACTATACATCATCCCTTAATAAGAAACATCGGTTAATTCATACTCCAATAAGTAGCACCCTACACTATTCGTAAATAGGCAGATAGAGTATTCTGTAAATAATGTCTTCTTCCTGAGAGGAAGCCAAGCCACCTAGGAAACTTCTTAACTATCTACTATCCGTCTATCAATCAGCCAACCGTCTAAAATCGCCGGTACATCTGAAGACTCAGTTTTTTTAAAGTTAATTTTTAATTTATGCATTATTTCTGATTTTTTTTTAACTAATACGATGAACTTCCAAAGAGAACATTCATAACTAGATTGCTGATGTTTATGCAGAAAACGAAGCCTAAAAATATGTATGTACCACAAAACTATAAACAAAATGTATACAAATTTACACATTCTGCTTACAGTTAAGTTGTGCATATTTTTGGGCTTCGTTTGCTGCATAAAAATCCGAAATCTATTCATAACTAAATAGTGGTTTTATTGAGCTTTGTTTCAGTTTTTTTTTTTGTTATATTAAAACATGTTAAATAGTGCAAACACAAGTGTCTGTAGTTTCAGTTAAAAAAAATCTAAACACACACTACTGATCAGAGAAAGCTTTTACTCTGTTCGCAACTCCATGTAAAATCTATCGTAAGCTTAAACGAGCTTCTCCCGCGGTATATGTATGTACATACAGTGACTCAAACAAATGACCACGTGTTGGTTTTTTTTTAATATTCGTAATGTTTTTCGAGTTAAATTTTTTTTTGTTATTTATCTATAAAAATACCTTTAACCAAAAACATATAAATCACAGTTTCAAACCTTTTACAAGATCTAGAAAAATTCAACAAATTTTCATCAAAATTTCAACTTTTGAAGCTAAAATGCAAGTTTCAACCGGCCTAAAAATCTCGTTGAATTTTGAGAATTTTTTTTTGTCACGGATTTTTATACTTTTTTCCAAATAACCATGCATTTCTTACTAAATAAAATGTGGGCCACCGTTTGAGTCACTGTATGATGTTTGTATGTATTTTGGAACAAGTTTCCGTTATCCTTTGCCGAATTTTGGTTAGAGACAAATAAGTTTTAAAGTTATGCATTTTTTTTTTATAATGAAAATGGCACAAAACAAATTTGGCGAGGAATGACACGAAAATTCGTTCCAAAATGCAAAATGTCGGAAACACCAAAAATCGAAAACAAGCCAAATATATATACTAACCTATCTAATCTTCTAAACATACTTTAAAACAATCCAAAAACCTCTTTCCTCAATAGTTTGTTCACATTCAAGATACTATGTTACATAAAGACATATATAACATAACAAAATCAGATATCAAAAAGCTAAAGTTTCAACAGACCTAACCTTATATTTTTCACCTTTATCCTGCTCTCTCTCTTACAAATATATTCACGAATTTAATAATGATACATACATACGTATAAAGTAAGTAGAAACACACACAAAATATTAACTAATAACTAAATATTGTATATTAAAACTAAAAAGAGAGCGAAAGTTCTTCACTTGAAACGATACCAAAGCTTAACTGAAAAGTACTAAATCTTATAAAGCCTATCTAATCATTAACACATATACTACATAAATACATACATATGTACATACATATAGTAAGTGCTTTAATAATTTAAAATTTTAACTTTGAAAATTAAAAAATAAGTTTTTATATACGTAAATGATAATTGTTACAAAGAAACATCTAATCTACTAAAATACACTACTAAACAAAAAAAGCTACGTACTCTGAAGGAGCTCATATAAAAAAGAAGCTTTCAAAGAAAACAAAACTTAGAACAAAAAATTTAAAATTACTTAAATAATCCAACAATCATTTAAACTCTTAAGCATTTAAATATGAACATTCTCCCCTTACTCCTAAACTGAACTTTAAACTCTCCAAAGAATTATATTTAAAATTTAGTAATGAAGAACTTATGAGAAATTAAAATTAAAACGAAGCTAAAAAAAAGTATATAAAGCATTTCAGAATTTAAAGCTGTTAGTTTAGGCCAAAAACAAGAGAGAAAACTTATGAGAAAAAAATTACACGTCACAAAATACTTTGTAAATATGAAAAATAAAAGTATGTATATTAGTAAATAAATAAATCAACAAAATAAACGATGCCATTTCCAACGAATTACAAAACGCTGTTTCCAATAATTATACGCGAGTGTCCTCACTTAAAACAAAGGTAGGTAATCAAAAACCAAAAAAAAAAATCGTAAATGTATTTCTACTATTTTTTATTTATTAATTTTTTACAAAAGTACAAAAGAAGCCTTAACTCTATAACCAATTTCAAAAATTACTAAATTAGGCACATTCAAATATTCTAACTACTAGCTGTACAAAACATGCATTTACATACATACCGGTGATGAGCATCGCCTTGCCCGCGGACAAAGCTCTTTTCAACTTTCTGTACATTTTGTATAGGCGCGTGCAGAGTAAAAGTTCACCTTGCCTATCGCCGCTCAATGCGAATCCTTAAGAAAACTTCGGAAAGCTTCAAAAAAGCTTCCACTTCGCTATAAATTTTGGTCATGACTGATCTACATACATTTCACTTCGAGCCGATAACACTTATCCGAATCCGCCGCATTCCAGCGCGTCACCTCGGCAATCGGCCTGCTCGGTTTCAGGAACAATGTCAACTCATCATTGAGATTGAGCGGTGAGAATTTGCTCACCACCACCGCTTTCGTGGCACTGCGATATCGTACGTTTAGCGGCGATTCATAGTCATTGCCAAAACTTCGTCCACGCTGATCGGGCCATTCATTGGTCTCCACCACCTCTTGCGCAGCGTCGTCAATTATACGATAGCTTGGCTGTTTGAATGGACTAAAGCCAAGCTTTTGGCAAATTTGTCGCACCTCCTTCACATCTGGTGGATTGTCGCGCGCAAAACATTTAGTATGCCACACGCCATAGGTCTGTTCGATCACCTGACCATACTGGGGCAATTGTTTGTGTTTGCTGAGTGTGTGTGAGAGGCGGGTAAGGAGTACGAGTTAGAAAAATACATATATGTACAAATTTAAGGATCCACTTACATTTGGGGTGACTGGGTGAAGGCTGTCTTTCTGGTAACTATCTGCTGTGGAAATTCAAGTCCAAAACAATATTTCTCATCTTCGCCATTGGGACAATCGGGTTCTTTGTCACAAACAAAGTCGCGTGGTACGCACTCTTTCGATGAACTGTAAGTAGCATATTGCAGAAAGTTAACTCAAAGTTTGTAAAAAAAAAAATCCTACTAATGTTTCCACTGTTTTTGTGCTGATCTTTGTCTACTTACCCGCCACATTGAAAATGATCAGCAGTGCAATTACATAGCGCTGGACTTTCATCGCTTTTATCCCAACAATTACGTATGCCATCGCATATTTTCTTTGGGTTGGTGGCTCTGGAAAGAAGTTGATGTCAATAATGAAGGATATGTCGATAACGAGTATGCAACATTTATCGATAAAGATATCGATAAATATTTTGATAAAAGTGAAAAATTCCTATTTTTTTATTGCGTTAACAGCATTGATTAAAACGTGGATACTCGTACCCTTTTTCTTACTTACTGCAGATACGTATAGCAAGAGCAAAGTGTAGGCTCATCGGTCATGTCATCGCAATCGGCTATGTGATCGCAAAATTTAGTTTTTGGTATGCACTTATAGGTGGTACGGCATTTCATCTCTGATGGCTGACAAACTGCAAAGAAACAGAAACTAGTAACTAAGTAACACTAATCGATACGATCTTAGTATTTTATACTACAAAAAATTGATTGTCACAATAAAAATAAAAAAAATCCACACGATGAGAGACGATCTTCTAGAAATCCCAACGCTTCGTGTAAGTATGTTTTGCGTGAGAAAGCATGTTTCCCTCTACATTTAATTTGATGTTCACAGGACACTCCAGAATGTCTCCCCCATCTATGATGCCTGCACCACTGTTTAATGGGTCTTCGACATTCTGATTCGTTGGAAAGCATTTGAGCAACCCCTTTTATGATGAATATCTGGGTTATAGAACCCTTAAACGAGACTAACTTTAAACTCATTTACACTGAGAGAAAAAACGCGTTGTAATACATATTAAGCAAAATGTTATGAATTCACTGAGGAAAGTAACGCAAAGTAAAAATTTGTATTTTTTTATTTGGTTATAGTTCTAGTTCGTATTTAAAAATAATATTTTCACATGACGCACGCGTGCTGTGTGTGGTGTTGATTCAAACACCAAATTTGAAAGCACATTTACATGCCTGACTGTAGCTGAGTGCGTAAAGATGCTTGCCACAATTTGCTAACATCCAGACGATCAGGACTCAAATCCCATTGCAGACAGCATGGAAATTAATTTTCTTTTTTTTTTTTGTTTATCTTAATTTTGAAATAAAATTGAATATTTCCATACTAAATACTAAAATCTGTATACTAAAATTTATTACGAGTTGGGTTGGTGCGTATTTTTTTAATTTAGCACCTTTTTTTATTCTAAAATTTGTTTCTCTCAGTGTAGAGCTTTTCTTTTTTGTGCGTACCGATATGATACTAATTTTTTGCGTCGTACAGAAAACTCTTGACGCATAAAAGGTTATTTTAAAAAAGTAAAACCGCAAAGAAGTTGTGATACATCCAACGATTTTTATTTTATCTTTATTTTTTTTTTTTACGTAAAAAAAATTTGGTTAGGTCGTCCATGCTTTATTAAGCACACACAATAAGTAGTCGATCTGTTCAGCAAAAAATTTAAATAAACCATTCGAAATTCACTAAAAATATTAATTTTATAAATTCTCCCAATTTAATATTAGTTTTCCAGTTGAAAACTTCTGACAGTTCCGATATAAGCATCAACTAGAGGAGTTTTGGTTTTGTGAGTTTCTTGCTATTATTTTTGATGCTTCGTAAATAGAAAGCTCCTAACCTCAACCTCTCATCAGATAATGAATATATTTCACTCACCTTTCTTCCGTCCAATGCACATTTGTTTCTCTTCATCCGCATCGTCATGGCAATCGCTGAACCCATTACAAATTTGTTCTTCTTCCAAGCAATCGCCCAGCGTACAACGAAAAGTGCTGCAGACCGGTGCCGCATTAGAATGCTCACATTTAGGTTGATCTGTGGGCGCGAGATAAATACCTTTGTATCTTATCTCAAAGTTCTATTTTGCGCATCAGCCTTCTCTACTTACCTATTAAAGCCTGTATCGTGCCGTGAACCTTTTCCAGCGTACGCAATGCAATTGAGTCCTTAAAACTATAACAATTCGTATTATTGTAGTCGAACAACGCCATTGGATACCAGCCAGTGTCAGATTGCCTACAAGCCAAAATGCCCTGATCAATAGGATCTAGTGCAGTGCGGCTGAAATTCTTCCTGCCGAATTGTGTACAAGTAGTAAAACGGGAAATCGTCGAACCCAATGTGTCGTTCCCATCGAGGAAGGCTTCCTTTAGTACAACTTCCTCCGATAAACTGGCAACATCTTCTTCGCTTACTGACAGCTCATTAAGTACCTGCTGCGGTGGTTTACGCTCCACCAGTCGATAGCATGACATATCGGAGACTTTGCACAATGAATCATTTCGCTCCTCAATTGCGGCTACAGCTTTGATACGACCGCTGTGGTCATCGTGTAAAATTGCTATGCATTGGCTGGACTCATCGGTGGTGGGTTTGAAGCTGTAAATAGAGGTTTTAGGTAATCTCAAATAACTTTCCTCTATTCAGTCGCTGCTTACGAGTCCGGCAAGAATGTTGGTAGCACGTAATGTGTAAAGTGTGCCGGTTTTTCCAAGTGATACAACAGTACATCGCTCTTGGGCACCAGCTCAAAGCAATCAACACGTCGTATCTGTTCGTGGGTGCTTTTGTGCCGACGTCGTTTCGTCTTGCCACCACCCAGTAGTACGGCAATATAATTGGTGTTGAATCTGTGAGGTAATCGTTGCATTTTTTTAGGCATATAATATAAGCAGATTCGATAATCCGACAATAGCCGACTCACCTGACGCCGTAGTGACATGTTTCGTGCACCATGACCCAATGCTTATCAACCAATGCGCCCACACACCACAACCTACCATCAACGTAAACATCAACAATCCATGGCCAATGCAGCTCCTCCACGGCTTCATGCAATTTGTTATCTATCAATAGCGTCATATTTTTCCGGCTCTCAATTACCCCGTCCAACTTATCGAGCACTTCATCCTTCTTTTTCACCAGCAACACTGGCGATGGTGGCGTCACAAAAACATTCGGTTTACCATGTGTCTCCAAAGCCGGCTGCAGTCCGGTTGAATGCACGCCGTCTGATGATACGAGCTCGCCAGCGCTTATGGTCCTTATGGGCTCTACACCATTTGCTTTCGCTTCACATTCCACATATAGACCCAAACACTCATCCATGACACGTTCTATATATTGAGTGCGAGCTTTGAAGACAAAATCATCTGCGCGAAATTGACGCTCAACGCTAGATAAGTGGTGGTTGTCGTCGTATATCGATGAAAAATGTGATTGCAAACGCATCTTTTTGCGTATGTCAGGATGAATAGGCACAATGGTGTCGTGCGGCATAAATTGGGTTGTATTATAGAATTTTAAGCTTCTGAAACCCAGCTGGGCGCATACGTTTGCTGCCGTTGTAGCGATTTGCTCGGAGTGGGGAATTTCATGAGAACATACCACGCGCCATTTACCATGACTGTTGCGCGAAAATATGCCAGCACTCTTCAAAACGGGACGTCTATCGGTGTCCAAAACGATCTCCCTGCCATTAGTTAAAGTGACTTGACAGAAGAACGATTTACTATAGAATTGGCTAATACAAAACAAAAGTAAATTGACTACTTACAGCAGTCCTTTTCATCCTCCCTGAAATCGCAATCAATAATGGCGTCGCAACGCTTCTCCAGTGGTAGGCAAATTTTCGAAAGTGGACAGAGGTACTCGTCGGCGCTGCAGTTACCTTAAAGAAGGATATTAGTCTTTTTAGTACTTCGACTTATCTGTAAGTATTTATGTAAATGAATACCCACCACAGTTTTCTTCATCGGTTAAGTCTTCACAATCAGCTTTTCCATCACAAATGAGTATATTAAGTGATCCTTTCAAGTAGTCGCGACAACTACAATCGTCCTCGTCAGAGCCATCTTCGCAGTCTAGCACACGATCACAGCGATTTTTCACCTCGACAATCTGCGGTATCCTGAAAAGAGGATACGTTTAAGTTAGAAGGGCAAAAACAGTTAATTCGCGTCCATAAAAATGGCCCTTAAAGAAATCATTCCCTAACCGGGTCAGAAGCCAAACTCATTGTGTTATGGACACAATATAAGACTCTCATTGATGAGAATTTTTCAAATACCCGTCAGTCGTATGAAAACTTATACACTGTTTTAAGGATGAGGTTCATAGTGGAATAAGAACCCGGCTAAACTACTTGAGAAGACCTGATAGATCATTTACGATGAGTCTCTTTACTTGCTAGCCGATCTGCATCTGCCAGGTTGCTCACCACTGAGCGCAACCCGCAAATGACCATGCGCAGAGGACTAGAAAGTCGCTAAAGGCCTGTTAAAAGAATCGTAGATACATAGAAATAACTACATCTATGCACCAGGCAGGTTAACCGACAACGCTCTTCAGAGCCTCACGAGTACAGCTGAAACGTCGAACGAGAACAAAGAGGTGGCTATGTGCTACCTCCTGTACCTTGAGGCACAAACAGCTAGAACCATTTCTGCAGGTAGAAAAAATACACTTCTAAAGAAGTAACCTGCATGAGCCTCCATTTGGCCCTGCTGAAAGAACGTACGCCGCGCCATGTGGTGGAAGAAACCAGGCATGAAGTCCATGCAGGCATAGCTTAGCAACGACTAACCTGTGTGAGAATTACTAGTGAAATTAAAACAACATCGACGGTGACTCTCGAAGCCCTTCTAGATCTACCTCCTCTTATCAACATGATCAAGGAAAAAACTTTACTGTTCAGTGCAAGACTCATCTCGGAGACAGTGCAAAAGATAAGAAGTTACTGCATCTATTCACTCTCAGGGTTATAGAACCAAATGGGCCAATGAACGACGAAAACCCCGGAAGTATAGCCAGCAGCAGGTGTCTATGATAAACAAGCCATAAGCCAACTTTTCACTAACATTTGGCAAGTTAACTGTCTTTCAAGCCGAGTTATACGACATTGTACTATACCTGAGATAGTATGACAGTAGGACGGTGCTACTCGCCTTGAAAGCCTCCTGGATTCGGATTGTCCTCAGCTTTTAATATTCATCAGAAAGGATTTTGTAGGGATTCATAGGCCCAGGACCTTTCATCGGTCCTCCATGGAGCTCCGTTAGGCGAAAGTATTACAAATGACAGGAGAAGGAAGCGCAGCATTACTGGGCAAATAAAAAAGTAATAGACAGGCTAAATATCAAGGAAATAACTATCAACAAAGAGAACTAAATCACTCCTCCACCTTACTAGGCAAGCCGTTAGAAGCACCCGCAAAGCAGTGCAAACCCCAATGGACACAAACTTGACTAAACCTAGACGTAACTCTAATTTTATCTCACCTCTGACATATAAATTTCCCAGGTATTGTTGAGTTACTCAACTTTCTTGGTTTCACCGTAGTAGTCGCCGCAGCTGTAATGCCTTCAGTTGTCACAAGGCTCGTCGTTTCCGACCTCAACGTAGAGGAGAGCTTGGAATCATTAGGAGTTGTTGTAACCAAATTTTCAACATCAAAGGATTTTAGGGATACCGTTGTAAGATCAGTGGTTGACGAAATGTCAGTAGTAGTATCCATCGTACTTGTTTCCGTTGTTGTTATTCCGGTGGTATTAGTTGGACTGGTACCAACTGTCGAGGTGTTGCTTTGGTCGACGGTACTGATTTTTGTACTTTCTACCGTAGTTGTTGTACTGGCTTCAGTCGAAGTAAATGCTGACGACATAGTTTCTGAGGCTGTCACCTCCGTTGTAGTAATATCCGTCGTAGAAGGCTCCTCGGTGCTAGTCTCCGTTGTAACAGGTTCTTCTGTGGTGGTATCTATAGAAGTAGGAACCATAGTACTGGCTTCCATTTGTGACACCGCTGTGGTAGTTTCCGAAAGTTTTGATTGGGCTGTACTCATTTCCGTAGTACTTTTACGTTTCGTACCAGCCTCAGCCGTGGTAGCTGTATTTGCGCTGGAATCAGCTGTTACTCTCTGTGTAGTGCTGCTTCCGTTCGATTCACTAGCGTTTGTTTGTATTCCTGTAGTACCAGGCGTCATTGTATTTTCAACACTCTCAACTTCAGCACGCGCCTGCGTAGCTGAATTTCCTGCTTTACAGGGCGGTGATGTCACTACACTCTCAGGATAGTAATCACTCTCGGTTGTGGTGGATATGTTGTGCACGCTACCAACCATATCTGGTATGAAATTGTAAGTGCAGCCAACTTCATCTTCGCCACCTAAGCAGTCTACAACACGATCGCAGCGCCTTTTCTTTGAAATGCAACGCTCGCCACCCCACACACAGACATAACCAGGACATATTAAGCGTGGTTGTAGTTTCGCTGGGAATTTCATCGCCAATTCTATCCAGTCCAAGTAAAGCGCCACACGTGTATAAGCGCCGAATTCACCTGGACGCGCACAACCGTTACCATGACTGACTACACCCGCCAAGTACCATTCGTCTGTATTATTGACGCTGCGACAGAATAACGGGCCACCAGAATCACCCTGGCAGGCATCACGTCCGCCACTCACATCACCAGCGCAAACATTCTCGGACTGTCTATCGTCTAACTCGTTGCACTGCTTTCGGATCGGTACAACAACTTCGCGTAATTGGTCACCTAGTAAGAAATTATTCAATTTACAAAATTAAGAAAATATATTCTCAACCTCATCACGTCTACTTACTGCCGGGTCCTTTTTCACGCACCGCTCCCCAACCCACTACCGTACATAGCGTGTTCTCTTTCGGTCCCCTAATCCAATCATCTCCCGCTGTGGTTCGCCCAATATCTGGTAAACATATTGGTTTTACCCAACGATTAAACGTTAAGGCTGCACTCATTTTCAGGAGGGAAAGATCGTTACGCATGGAGCGTCTCTCGTATGCTTGATGCACAATGATATGTGATATTGCACGAATTTGCGTGGAACTCGAAAAGCTAGATCGACGCAACAAGCCAGCGTGTATCTCGTAATAGTATTTGTGATAGTTTATGACACAGTGTGCGGCGCTAATGATCTGACAGATTAAAATATATATTTTATTATCCAAATTTGTATGAAAAATATAGTAGTAAAAATGTACTTGCATAGTTATAAATATTTATCAATAAGTATAGGGTAAAGTATTATGAACTATTTCCTCCGTCCCGCCCTAGAGATAAATAGAATCACTGGCGTCTTGGATGGCGAAAATCTTCAGCTTTAAACTCTTCCTTGGCAATACTCCAGGCTATGAGGGATGTTACTTGACTGTGAGTGGCTGTCGACGCTATATCTGAAGTTGTTTTTAGAAGAAGACCTACTTTGAGTAGGTCTAATTGACGCCAGCAAGCAGAAAGAAGCAACGACTGGTGCGCTAGGTTGAACTTCGCCTAAATCACTTAGGCCGTTATAGCGCTCATCAAGGAGAAGAAGGATTATCCACCAAAAACAAACGCTGAGGTGAATTCAGAAGTGGAAAATTTGTCGATTCCTTCAAGACCTTAGAAACTGGGACTGCAAAAATGTAAAATCCATAACCCTTTATAAACGTTTTAATTTGTGATCTCCATTTCGAATAGACAGATCTTGGACCCACATCGAAGGTCACGCCTCTATCAGAAGTGACTACGCAATTAATAATCTCTTATAAGATTCCTATCTTAAAAACGAACAATGGTACAATATCAGATATCTTTTGCTTAGCATTTTTGTGAGTAAAATTGGCATATTTCGCGATCACTTTCGTTTCAACCCAATATGTAGTTAAATCCATGAAGCTCTGACTTTCCAGTTGGTTTTAACGATAGCTTAGTTAGATTGTAGTGTCTACAGTGGAAAGAAAATTCTTAAAACATGTACGATAACTTTAGGCAAAATGTTTTACGAAGTCACACATTTTACTTGTAGTTATGTATGTGGTACATATTTTGGGCTTATCTTTGCATAAAAATTCGCTGCCTAATGATGGCATACATACGTAAGCGTGGTGGCCCGTTGTGATACTCTTTTGTCCAGTATGTAGCTGATTCTGACTGCATAGAACCTGCAGGAATGATTGGTGATGCGTTATAAGTCGCAGACCTTCGTCAAATCTAAGTCTGACGCAACATGGGAAAAATTTGGCCGGAGACTTAGTCGTCTCAGTTTATTTAAGGCTGGATAATAGCGAAGGAGGTGTTTCACGTTCTTGGTTTCTTTATCATCTCTACAGCAGCGGCAGTAGTCGTTCGCTGTAAGCCGCGTTCTGCTGACATTTATACCTACTAAGCACTAGCCAGTTGAAATCTTTCCCAGAGCTGGAAGGACCGTAGACCTCTCCTTATCCAACCTGGACTGGATATCTATCGACTCTAAAATTGGGACTTTAGAGAACTGTGTAAGATTTTTTAACTTAACCTTATTTTACAAAATGATAATTTAGATATATCGTCTTATTTGAGCAAATCTTTTTCCTTTTTTCTTTTTTCTACGTGCAGAGGTTTAGAGATTATACTAAATTCTTACATAGTTCGAGTTAATCACCACCTCGGATTGTAATATCTTGCTAATGATCATCCTAAAATAATAATCCCTTTAGACGCCAACTAAGCTAGCTTCGGAGCGTAGAAGTAAAAATAGAATTCATTAAGTCTTTTTCGCTTACCCAATTTTCAGAATATATTGTACCGCCACAATGAAACTTCCCATCTCTGTATATCGCAACAACAAAGGGCCACTGCATTGCTTTACTGTAACTACCGCCCACAATACGTCCATTTGATACTTCAGGCTGCTCTTCCTCTTTAACTTTCTGCATTTCAGGCAATAATGCCCTAGAACGCTTTCGACGAAAGGGTGTCTTCACTTTTTTCTTCAGCTTGCCACACTCAGTTGGTGAGCACGTAACATAAGCAGCCTGATCTAGCAGGTTATCGTCTGAGTCCCGCTGCTGACATGATTGCGGAAAATGTGCTTGCCCTACCAAGGTGGGTTCAATAAATGGACCTGGTAGCGTAACAGAGCTAAAAGTCACATTTGGGCTGCCGCTACGATCCGCCTCATTAGCGCACGCATCCTGTGCCCACTTTTGCGCGTTATTGCACACTGGATACCACTCACCACGGTAGTTGTGGAAGAGAAAACCACTTGAACTGGACACCGCATGTGACTAAGGGAAATATAAAAGTGTGAAAATTAAAAAAGGAATACTCTTTTCGCTTGCCCATTTCGTATGCTCACCATGTGATCCTTCACGTCTTTCACAATTATATTGCAATCCAGTTCGTCGCGTCCATTCAGACAGTTCATAATACCGTCACACTTTTCCGTTGCACTGTAACACATGGACAACGTCGAACGATTGAATGCGGCATACTCCTCAGGACTGCCGTAGCAGGAATAAATCAAATCATTGCAGCCAAAACAGCCCAGCTCATCCTCTCCCATCGGACAGTCGGCGTATCCATCACAAATACGATTACTAGCCAGCCGATCTATGCAACGACACGCTGCCTCATCGCTGCCATCGGAGCAGTCAACAAAATTGTCACACCAAGCGCTTTTCTGAATGCATTCCTTACCACCATAGCAGCCTGTCTGTTCCGGCGAATCGCACTTGAAATGATCCATGTGACCCAAGTGGTCGGGTACATTCGTGTAGGACGCGTAAATGATATCGGTCGAAAGATTCTGCGCGCTAGTGCGCATCTTAAAGTTGGCATTCGAGAAACCCATGCCATTAATGCTGCTACTACCGCTGCCAAGTCCACCACCACTCGAGCCGCCAGAATTATTATTTGCATTGTTCTGCATGTAGGTGCAAAAGAATTGCTGCTGCTGCTTTCGTGGTGCTGCATTCTTCGTAAATACATTTGGAATATTACTTTGACTGCTGAAAAATAGGCGCTAAATCATTAATGAACTACAAAGGTGACACTGTAGATATGGGGGCTACTTACCCGCCACTTCCGGTGCCGCCAGTTTGGCCAAAGAAGTTTCCAGTTGGTCCAAAATTCTGTGGTACAAAGAAAACGCCATTTGGTGTGTTGAAACCCATGGGACCGCTACTGAATCCACCACCAGGCATACCCTGAAATGCTGGTGTCCACATGGGACTTTGGTTGGCTAAGCGAAAATTCGCAGGTGTTATATAGAAACAGATTGGTATGGTGGGCATGCCGAAGTTGGGATTATAAAGAAACTGAGCTGTGGCCTTCATCGTCTCGCCCGTTACCGGGAATACACCTGGTGCACGACTTGTGAATTGCGCGCCTGGTGCTGGCGTGAAAGCTGTTGCATCTTTGTTCGCGCCCTTATTGCGTAGACGCTTTGCCACCTGCTCGCACAGCAGCAGAAATTGTGCGTCTGAAAATATTTGCGAGTGAGTTACAATCCATTAAGTCGATTTCGCGCACATCGCAAAAGCTTCGGAAATATACTTACCTTTAAAGCTATTTACATTCGCCGTATTTAGCTTCGCACCATATTTCATCATTGCCTTGAGATCCGCCGCATCGAAGGTGTCAATTAACTCATCCTCCTGTTGCTGTACCACCAAACCCTTTCGAAATAGTTCCTCCCACTGTTTTGGATCATACGGACTCGTAGTTGTCAGACTTAGATTCTTGTTGTCTAACCCAGCGTCATCGTGTTTGATAGGCTTAAAGCCATGCTGGCCTTCGGCGCTTTCAAGCATATTCTCCACACTACTTGCATAATCTAATGGATGCGCTGAGTCTTTGTCGCCGGTGCGCGTTTTTTCATGATCTTGCTGTTGTTGAGGTGTAGTTGACGTTGTTTTGGGTGTTGTAGCACAGTCTCCACCATATGTGATAATGACGTCTGAGGTGTTCGTAAGTGTAACTGAAAAGGATGTATAGTGCTTGTGTGGAGCTATTGTGCTTTTGGCCTCATTTTCTTCTTCGCTTAGAGCATCGTTTTTTAATTTACGCAGCTTGTCTTCCTGCATCTCAACACCTTCCGTAATCTCTTCCAGTTCTTCGAATATATCGCGTGTTGACGAGGGCGGGGGCGAGGGCGAGGGCGAGGGCGTGTCCGTGGTCTTCACAGTCATGGTAGCAGTAGTAATAGTAGTAGTAGCTGTAGCATTGTCATCGTTTCCATCTATAATCCAACTAAACCTATCCGGCTTATCTTCGGCTTGGCTTGCGGGTTTTGTTGTCAATTTGGGAGTTGTTGTTTCTTCGTTGTCGTCGCCATCTAAAATCCAAGTTATCCTTTCTGTAACTGCTGTTGTATCTTCCGGCGTTGAGCTCGACTTAGTCGTATTAGCAACTGCAACGTCTTCCTCCTCTTCATGATGTCCGTCTATGATCCAACTGATCTTTTCCGGCTTTTCATCTACGGTCATCGGCTTAGGCGTTTGTGGCCTAATCGATGTGAACTCATTTGTTGGTGTAGTTGCATTTGTTTCATGCGGTTTAACCGTTGTTTCAGACATTACAGGCCTATCCAAAGGTATTATTGTTTCATTATCACTTTCAAATCCATCCAATATCCAACTTATCTTATGAGATTCATTTTCTGTGTGCGTAAAAGTGGTGTCATTATGTTTCTTCTCAATCTCTATCGGCGCGACTTCGCCGCTCTGGTGGCCATCCAAAATCCAACTTATTTTTGCGGGTCTATCTGTCGTCGCTGTAGGCGCGCTTTCTGTTCCATGCGTTAGTTTCTCAGTTACCGCCTCCGTCGTTGGCGCACGCGTGGTAGGCAACATTTCAGTTACAGGTGTTGTTGTTAACGAGCCAATACGTGGCGTTGTAGCCATATTCTGCTTTTCCGGATTATTTGCCTGAAAATGTTCATCATGCCCATCTATTATCCAACTATAGTGTATACGTTTGTCATCTGCGGTAGTACTTGAATTTTTCTCTTTACTATCCTCCTCTCCAGCAACCAACGTAAAGCTTGTCTCCGTCGTTGAGCTAATAAAGTCTTCCAACTTTTCTCCACTATGCACATCCTCGTCTTTGGTTGAGAACTTTTTATCCGTCGAATCCTTTGATTCGTGAGATGTGGAACTATGGCTCCGTTGCAGCACTTCGTCGTTTTCATTAAATATCTTCTTCATTTTATCCATTTTATCACTAATTTCTTTGGCTAAGTTGTAGAGCTTCATAAAGGCAACCATGCATCCGTTGCTATTTATCGATTCCTTCTTGCAACGGAAATATTCCTTCTCGAGTTTGCCCAGCTCCATTCGTGTGCGCTTATTTCGTACTTTCGCATAGAGGCTATCGAAATCGGGCTCACGTTCCAGAAATACTGAGTCCAACATACTTGACAGAGCTCTTCTTCCGTGTCGGTGGCGAAAAATTCTCGATCGCAAATGTTGTACGTCTAGACTTTGATCATACTGACTGACAGGCAATGCATCAGCGGAAGATTCTTGACCAGTAGCAGTTATGATTTCTATATTAGGGGAGTTCGGACCCGAATGTGTGAGGGTGGGATGACTTTGGTGTTTTCGATGTTGGATATTTAGCGCCTCAATTTGACGAAGTTTATCTACATAAATATGAGTGAATATTTAATTTTCATATAGCAAATCATATACCTACATACATGAGTATGTGGATGTATTTATGCCCAAAACTACTCACCCATTCTATCGAAGACAATTGCATGATAGACTATGATCAGCATTAATAACACCAACATTATACCCGATATGGCCAGTATTCGAGTAAGCGCCGTCTTAAGAGATTTTCTTTGAGACCGTGTGCCGAAAATGTCATTATCTAATGCGATAATAAGTAAGAAGAAATTGAAATGATTGCAACTATTTATGCACAAATAATAGCATTTTTTTAATTTTATTAATTAATTTATTATTAATTATTATTAAATTAATTAATTTTATTTATTTATTCGTATTGGATTCCATCTGAGATCACTGGTGGAACCAGCACAGCTTGTTTACTGTGGCCCAAAAACTCTTTGTCCATTAGAAACTTTCAAGTATGTATATTAATTAAACTACAGTAAAGCATTCCCTGAGTTAAAGTCCGTCGTCAATTAAGACCCTTACAGTCTGGAGTGCAATGGGGTATGGTCGTTCTTCTTGGTATGCAATTCCAGTTGCACGATCATTTAATTCCAACTCCTGCAACCCCGTTCGCGCTCTCTGGGTAACGTGAGCAACGCATGTGGAGCCTTGATTTACGGCAGAAAGAGAGGGACCTTCGGTGAGGTCGCCCCGACTTATTCGACTTAGGGGCTTAGTGAAGCGTCTATTCATAGACCAAGTTCCAGGTTGTGCGGTATACTTAAGGCCCGTCACCGAAAAACGTAACGGATCGAATAAGACTTCATTATTTTAATGATGGTCACGGCAAGTGTTTAAAAGAGAAGATGCCTCTGTTTAGCTGGTAGACATCCTAGCGAAGTTTAAGACTGACATCAGTGCAGTGCACTGTCAACTAAGAAATGCGATGCACCTTGCGACGTCTACTATCTTTAAAGGAGCGCAAATTCGGTGTTGGATTTGTGGTGTGAGAGGTCCGTTAACTGACTGACTGAGGCTGATCGACGTTTGCGGGCCCGAAACTTGGCAGCCTACAGTACCATATTCCAGCTACATGGCTGTATGCATGGAGGCGGCTCGTGTGTTTTCTGTGTGGTGTTCACACTTGCCTGGCTGTCAGGTTATCTGGTTAAAAATTATTTTTTATAGTGTATTTTATTGTTGCAAACTTCAAAAAATAATATAACCACATAACTAGATAACTTGATAACCATACGGGTGTGAAGAACCGCAGTAAAAAAAGAGAGATACCGAAATTTGTGAGTAGTAAGGACTTGGAACGCTGTCCGATGGAAGAACCTTCCGAATATTTTCATAGAAAATGACAATATTCGATGAGGCGGCGCTTGGAGTATTCGATAGAAAGATGTTGGGTAAGATTTACGGGCCATTACGCATTGGCGCCGGCGAGTACCGCAGACGAAGGAACGATGAGCTGTGTGAGCTTTACAACGATATGGACATAGTGAAGCGAATTAAAATACAGCGGCTCCGCTGGCTTGGCCATGTCGCCCGAATGGATGCCCCAGCTCCGAAAGAATTCAACTCGGAAACCGCCGGTGAGAGCAAAGGAAGAGCGGGGCCCCCACTGGGATGGAAAGATCAAGTGGAGAAGGACTAGGCATAACTTGACATTTCCAATTGGCGTCAGTTGGCAGAGGAGAGAAACGACTGGCGTGCTTTGTTGAACTTGGCCAAAATCTCGTAGGCGGTTACAGCCTCAAACAAGAAGAAGATTTATTTAAGTCTCTAATGACTGCTTTTAAAAAAAATAAGCTTCATGTCTGCGGCCTTCAAGTCTCTAACGACTGCTTTTATAAAAAGAAGCTTCATGTCTGCGACCTTGGGAAGATGCCAGGGCTGGAAATGTGCGGAATTGGTGATTCCACAACCAAATTTAATGAATTAATTTTATATTTTTTAACAAAATTATTATGTACATGTGTACATATGTATGTATGTATGTACATTAAGACGTATCACGAACGAAACGAAAAGGTCCCTCTCAGAACTATAATTGAATAAAGCCTAACACTTTTTGGCAAGGTCGTCATCGTTTTGTGAGAGCTTTAGATTTATAGTATAAAAATAAAAATTTAGGGATAGTAATTCCAAAATTAGTGATGGTATAAATTAAAACAGGTTTGAGGGCAAAAACTGTTTAATGGCCATTAACTTTTCAGCGACATAAAGATTTTAAAAATCGAATATAAAATAAGAAAGTTAAAGCAAAAAACGCGATTTAGCGGTTTTTAGCGGGTGCCTAAAAAAAAAACTCTTTAGATACTTCCAAAATTTTTTCTCGACATGCTTAAGTGTTTAAATAAAACTGACACACGCTAACTTTTTTTCTTTCATATGTCGTGATACTGCTTAATGCACATACATACATATGTTGGGCTCTTTTTATAAGCTTTTCATTGTAATATTTTGTATTTGTGATATAATTCACATACATACATATGTATGTGTACATGTAGTAGTAGGTATCAACCACTAAACTCTTAATTTTTATTAAGAAATATGAAACATTTTCATTTAATTTTATTTTTTTATTGACAATCGCTCAAAAATATTGCATTGACAATATTTTTAACTCAAAGGTTTATTCACTTGGCACACATTCAAACTTTCATTTGGACACTTAAATGAATTGGTATTTTTTTATATGCGCTTTTTCGTATACATATATGCGTACATAAATTTTTTTTTTTACCACAAAACTCACTTACATTCATATGAACGTATGAATGTTGTATTAAAAATACACCTACCATCGGATATTTGTTTTATTTTAGCCATCATCTTTTAAAATTCATTCAGTTATTCCAAAGGTAAATTTACTAAAACTGCGAATATCCGTATATGTATTTATGTAAGTATGTATTTTAGATCAAACGAATTCTTTAAGTCACACTGCACATTCAAGAATCAAACGTTGCTATTCTCTCTTTTGCAGAAATTCGATTTATGCATAGTTATATTTTTTCCATTTGCAATATAAATATTTATGCACAATAAATGTAAACCCATACATATGTATATGTATTTATGCATGTTCACTATTTGCAAAGACATATGTTTCTATGCCGTCACAAGGATCAAATTGCACTTTCATTGTAAACATATTTCATTCACAACACAACACAACACAACACAGCACACTTTCATTAATCCAATATGCAATTGTAGATAAGTAGATATGTATGTATGTATCTCCTGGTCTACATATGTAATCCAAATCAATGTAATCCAATCCCCGGTGGGTATGTAGCGCATATGTATGTAGATGCACAATTTAAATCCAATTCCCGCATTTAGACCGACGACCAATCCAAATGCAACCAACAACCGACCGACCGACCGATCACTTCCGTTTGAATAACGCGTTGAGACTGTGATCGGTAACGGCATGCAACTCTGCTTTTCAATCATTTCAAAAAGTGGAACATCGCTACAAACCACGCCGAATCGACCCAAATTTAAATACTCATTTTTGCTACAACTGCTGAATTTTTACTGGTAATTAATGAAACTCAAAATAATTTTTGCATTTTTTTTTTTCAATTTGAATGTGGATTTTGTTGAGGTTAGCAGTAAAAAAAAGCTACATACATATACTAAATGCTCGCTTATTGATTTTCGCATTTTATGTAAGTGTGGAGTGTTGTGTTCTTTTGCATAGGTTTACAAGAAAAAATGTCAACAATATAAAACTAAGTATGGGGAGACACTCGTTTTATTTAAATACACAAGCAAATGGCGTACATACTTACATTAGGGTGCTTCACTCTCCATATCTACAATAAAAAAAAAAATCGGTACAATTTTTTCATTGGAATTAAAATCTCTAGATACTATTTTAGAACTTTTGCCAAAATATTTCAGAAAAAATATTCGGAATTAGAAAATGTATTATATTTCAAGGCTTCCGCCAAAATTTTTTAGAAAAACATTAAGATTTAAGTGGGCTGGACCGATTAGAAAGTACTCCCAAAAATCTAGTTTCTTATAAATAAAATAGGTTTAAAACAATTTTTCCCCAAAATTATCTTCTGCGTGAAAGTTTTATCAACTGAATCATAATAATGAGCTTTTTGGAGGTATTTTCAAATCAGTCCAGCTCACGTAGACATCAATATTTTTCCGAAATATTTTAGCGGTAGTTTTAAAGTATAATAAATTGTATAGTTCCGTTGGAAAAACCGCAACCTTTTTTTTGGTAAGGCACCCTAATGTACCTGCATATATTTATATGTACTTGTGCACCCACTAAAGTATTAAGTGGGGGTTACTTTAGTGCATTGCTCCAGTGCATGGTCAACACTTTGAAAATTTTGCAAGTAACTTAATTTTCCAACATCGAACGGTATACTATAAAAAAAAATTTTATATTTACATATGCTAAAGACTTAATATTATACAATGTAATTTAGTAAGCTTTGTTATTGTAAATCGTGGAGTGCATGGCTAAGCTCAATCCCGGCTCTGGCGTAACCGTTTGCGCATCCTGGACAACATGAACGACCCACGTTTGAGATGCTCCGTCTGGAATCTGGGGTCACGACAGAGAATGAGGGAGCTTTGGTGGGGCCACTCGGACTTATTCGGTTCGGTTAGGGGCTTACTAAAGTCAACAGCATCTGTTTACCAGTAGAAGCGGCTGTAAGCGGGTGTCTGTCTGTCTTTGTAGCAAGCGGAGCGATGTATAGTAAGTAAATGTACGTACATATATCTTCAAAAATTCTTCCAGCAATGGGCTTCAAAACATGCAAGCCTTGAATAGTGACTACGATTTATATATATAGCCCTAAAATGTTCGAAACCTCTGTAGAGATGGTGCGTCTTTCCAACTGTGGTATATCATAGATAAACACAGCTCGACATCTCCCCAGTTCAGGAAATGCGATGGACAGAACATGTTGCGACATGTACTACATGTACAGCTGCCATAAGACGTCGCAGAAATTTTGTTTGGTCGGGGGGAGAATTCGAAATCTTAGTTCACACGGTTAACTCCCAGAGTTTTTATACATACGTCCCGACGAAGAAAACGGACGATAAGGTTAGATTGTAGTGGTTGCTCCAGACAACGAACACAATCGGACAATGGAGCGATTGTCCTAGCGGATAGATCGAAACTTAATTATCTCTTATTTAAAAAAAAAAAAGTAACATGAAATCGGTTCATATTTGGGCTCTTAAAATTGAGTTGTCCACAGCAGCCTCTTTTGCCCCACTGTGCACCGTGATATAGATTGGAAATAAAAGAAAGTGTTTTTTGCAGTAGTGCATTTACGAATTGACCCGATATTGACATGCTCGGCCTGAAAGCTTAGTCTATAAGTACGGTGACCATAAATATGAATTGAAAATGCAGGACAATTTTTCAAAAATATAGCTACATATATTTACGAAGAATAAAAATAACAAAAACGTTTATAGTATATGTTTCTAAATTCTATTTAAAACTTTAAAAGTAAATCACATTTTCTTCATTGGTATTAATCTTTTTTTAAATTAATATTTATAAAATTATATATGAAACATATTATAATTACATTAGCCTACACGAAAAGTGAACCTTTTAAAAAATAATTTTATAGGCAAACTTTGGGTTGTTCAACACGAAAACAATACCCATTTTTCAAAGAAACGTTTTCAAGTTTTTTTTCAAACAAACGTGGTTTTTTTGGTATTTTCGCAGTTATTCGTCAAAAATCGACGCATTTACTGTAATGACACTTCTTTATATGGAATTTGTAAAATAATGAAAAAAATAACCAAGTAAAACTGTTTAGTTGATTGATAATCGTACTTGTTTCGACTTTGATCGCTTGTAGTATTGATAATTTTCATTGAAATCACAAGCATATCACAAGTTATATATTTTTGTAAGAGGCACATCAATACTTTCCCAACTTACGTGGATTGGGAGACTTTTTCATGAGATATTGAAGAAAAGCTCCGATAAGTAGGTACCAAATAACGTCCATACATTGACCGCGGCCGCGCAAAATTTTGTAACGCACTGACTGGTTGAAGTTGCAAAATCAGCCTCACTCACCTTCATGTAGTTATCAATCAGTTATCGACACTGCCTATATTTTGATAGGTAAAGTGCTTCGGCTGTTAATTTTAAAATATCGAATAAAATACGGGACAAATGCAGGACACTGGGGAAAAATCAGTACATTTTCAAGTTTTACTCTTTTGAAAAACTACGCAGAGCAGACCTTTGAATAACAGTACGGTCCTGCAAAAAACAGGACGGATGGTCACCGTATCTATAAGCGAAGCATTTACCAGTTGGAGAAAGCGGCGAAAGAGGTTGGAGTAATGCTGAACGAGAATTAAAAAAAAGTACCTCCTGCAGCAAACAGAGATGAGAAGGCTTTGAGAGTTTTTCGGAAAACTACTCTACTCAAGATATATGCCTTCGTCCGCGAGTGCGACGGATACGATGAAGAAATGATGATGCTGGAAGTAGAAGCCCCAGCCCCAGCTCCAAAAACTCTTGCGAGGATTTTTCATGGCGTTACAACAACAACGATTGAAGGATTAATCAATTCTAGGCAGGGTTAAGTAGTCACAACAATAACAACAATGATTATGCTAAGTTCGATATGTATGCAGGAATGATGGCGGACCGGTGACAAAATCCAATGGGCGGAGGGCTCCACGAACAGAATGAAAGGACCGAGGGGAGAAAGAACTTATAAAATCCAATATCAACAACTCATACTTTTCGCCAATCATTAAATTAATGTCTCTTAAAAAAAAGAAAAATATCTTTTATGTAGTTGCTTCATCCAACCTTAAATTTATTCCTTTTTTTCGTTCTCGTTTTTTACATTACGTGGATACATACATATTTATTTACATAGAATTAGTAAACAAAAATAGAAAAGAAAAGTTCATATTTAAATTAGTTTGGTTAAGAAATCTCTTATTTTAATTTATTTTATCATTTTTTAGATAGTAAAAAAAAACTATATATGTAATTCAATAAGTACCAAACAAAGCTACATGCGCGCCTACATACATCGTTCTTGATGTATGTTATGTACCTATTCTGTGCGCTTCAGGTGGCACTAAGTTTATTAATAACAAAAGCAAATTCATTTATCCATATCGGTGTAAGCTAATATTAGTAAGATACATACTTTTAATGATAACTTTTTTGTACAACATAGAAATTCAGTCAACTAATTTTCATTATTGTAACGGCACCATCAATATCAAGTTGAGTATTATTCTGTAAAACATCTTGAGAAAATGAAAAATACATCCAATAGTTACTTTTTCGTAGTTACAATTTTTAAGGCAGTTTCATACTTAACGACTAGAGCAAAATATTAGGTCAACTTTAGCGCATTTTACATTGTTCCATTTAAACTGGTTTCAAATTATTTCTCAGCTGCCGTTTTTCGTATAATTCTTGTATGATATCTCGAAATAGCATTGGATTAATATTTACGCTAACCTTAAATAACAAAAACCAATCGCCGAAGGTCATGTTCTCAAGAGCTAGCTGCACCTGTGTTGAAGACATTGGGCGCAATTGTGTGCTGATCATTTTCATACGAAAGGTCCTGCTAGATATGAGAAATAAACGATAGAACAAATTTAACCCAGCAATTATAGCCATTATGATGAACCAGCACCAGAGGAAAGCAAAGATTTTCTCATTTAATATATTCAACGGTAGAATACATAAAACATCGCGCTTGTTATGAGATCCACCAGGACCAACTGAATAGTAGTCACATTTTGCCAGTTTCGGGAAAATGCGCGAAGTAATGCGATTCCAATTATCCCAATCATAACGTGGTATAGCAGATAGAGCCTCGATGTATTTTGTCCAAAAGTCATTTAAAAATACGTTGAGCAACAAAATGTTGATTACCTGAAAATAAAATATGCATATATATGCGTGTACATTAAGAGTGGTGAAAAATAAGTAAAGTCGGAATTTTAATGCTCTCAACAACTAGGATGGTTTTATATAGAAAAAATATACCCAATTTTTTTTTTTTATTTTGTAATGATAAAATATTTAGAGGTCGTTCAAAGCGCTCAAAGTTTTCAATGTATTATATATGAGAAAAAACATCACTTCGTATAAATAGTATGGAATTCTTGAAAATTTATATTTTTCGATCAGAATACTCTGGTTCTCTTCATGAGAGTTTCAATACCTTATTGTTTTATTTAATCATTTTTTAATACTAATAATTTTTTTTTTATCCCCCCACTTCATTCTCTGGTATTTTCTGTGGTTTTGGCGGACCTATAAAATATAGGTTCATCAAACAACCTCGGGACCCGACAGCTTATCGACAGGCCTTGGACGGCATTCACAGAGAGGCAGTCTCGAGTTATGTAGACTCTCCACCTGTGAATGCCGTTCTGGGCATACAACCACCAGACGTGGACGAGACAGAGTTTCGTCTGCCTCGGGAGACTCGGGCCACAATAGCCCCACTGCACTCTGGTTAATGCAGCAGGTTGAAATCATACCTGAGCAGATTAAACGAAGATGTGTTAAACGAATGCCCGGCATGAGGAGAGACGCCCCATGACTCACAGCATCTTTTCGCATGCCCACTGAACCCCACCCTACTGACGCCCCTGTCCCTGTGGACAGACCCCCATCGAGGCTATCGCTAGTAGAGCTTGACGACAACGATTGAGGGACTAACCGATCTGGGCCGAGTTGTGGTAGCAGCTACAACAACAACAACAACAACAACATTAGGAATCTCCTGAAGAAAACACGAGTTTTCCCCGATTGGAAAATATTGATTTTCAAGAATTCTATACCATTTCTACGAAGTGTTTTTCCCCCCAAAAAAAATACATGGACAGGGCTGAAGAGAAAAAGTGTTTTCCTGCATGCTTTCCGCGCCCAACTTACGCGGATGTATATCTATTATTTAGCATTACAAATAAATTTCAATATACCCATAAGGTGCGAAAGCAGAAGCCCTTCATTTGTGCCACTCCATACAAAAGAGAAAGGAGAAAGGAATATATAGCGGAGGGCCTTGATTCTCAGGAAGGCCTTCAGGGAGAGCTTTTAACTCCTGAAATTATCTACTGGGTATGTACATATACTTAATTCCATGATAAAAACATAGCAAGGTATAACCGTTCTCTCAATTTGTCGGCCATGATTTTTTTTTGAAGTTTGCCAACATTTTAAAATCATATAAAAGTGAAAATAAAAAATTGAAATTGTTCGAAATTGTTGTTGCTTGAGATTGAAAATGAAAACGTGTGTGTGAGTTTGTGAGAAAATTTAAAAATTAAATTGTTTGGAAACGTCAAGAATTTTAAAAGTGACTCTCAGCGGTTCTACCTTACTATATTTTTATCATGCTTAATTCTTCTATTTACGTTCAAATTTAAATATTCCAATACTCACGCTGATTATAAAATTTAGTACTTCACACGATAAGCATTTTACCATGTAACAGAAGTGTATATCTTTATAGTCCGTTGAAAAATAATCGACCAAAAGCTTAAGGCGGTCCACATAAATACTTTCCGGTACCAATGCATGACCTATAAACCAGCAAATATATACATTAAACCCAACCAATTAACAAATTGAAAGCTTATTTATTCGACACTCACCAGCTTCGTAGCATAGCTGCTTTAGACGTTGACCCTCCCAAATCTTCCACAGGAAGGATGGAAAATAGAAGATGGCAGACTGCAGCAACAACAACATTATGACCCATTGATAGTAGCGCAAATATACACGCTCTGTGACTCCGGGCACCTCAGCGATAATTCCTTCTGCTATGTAAGGAGATGCATCATCTCCAGTCTGTGTACTTAGCAGTTTATTCCCATGTGGAATACGATCTTGCACATCGTACACGTTGAAAACATATGTGCCCATTGTCCAGCAAAATGAGTTAACAAATTCACCGTACATGCGCTCGCCCATACATTGTATGGGTTCACCGAAGTATTGCTTGGCCGATAACAGAAATGAGCAAGTCAACAAGAGGACCACGGTGCACTTGGAATGCAATGTAAATACCACATCGTATATGCGGACAGATTTAAATTGCAAATATTTGGAGAGCGGTCTCACAGCAGCATACATGGTCACCGTTTCTGGAATGAAAATTTCCAAAAAATCGGACACGAAATCGGAAATTTTGTATTAATTTTGAGATGACAAACGCATACGAATACGAAAACTCGGCAATTTTCTTTGAAAACCACACCAAACACGCGCTTTGAATGAAAATTTTTTGGATTTCTGCAAATAACGGCTTATTCGCGGTTTCAAGAAATGCATTTTCCATTCTACACTACCAACAATCTATTACAATGTCAGTGTGGCATTTAAAAGCTAATTTCCAGTAAAGTCAAATATTATTCCGTAATCATTTCATTGCTTCTTTTAATACGCTGTTTACATGAAATGATTTTAGAAGCGATTAGATGAATTAAATGTTGGCTGCCGAACAACTTCGTTGAAAACGATTAGTTTAAACACCACGGTCCACCATAACCAGTAATCGCTTGACACTTGTCACGATTTTACCAGAAGAAAATTTCGGGTAAAATTTTGCAACTTCATTCTCTCCAGAACTCTCAAAAAATCGCTCTCATTTGCAGGATTTTGGAGGAATTCGGAGTACGGAATCATTTTTCCTGTAACTTCCTGCAAGTTCCTGTAAAAACCTGTAAGTTCATGGAGTACTGGATCAGAGCTTATGCCATATCATTCCGTTTATACACCATTCTGTCATCATGATACCTCCGAATTCCGTTAATTTTGATCGAAATATATAGATAATCTTCTTTATCCTGGGTTTCGCCCGAAAAAGAAATTACCCGAAAATTGTTCATCTGTCCATGGTTAATACATGCAAACCAAAAGTGTAAAATGAGCCGGTTCGGGAAAAAATGCAATTCCTGATAAGGCGGACTATAAACATGCAAACATATGTAAGTTCCGTTAGAAGACTTTTGATTCTTTCATGAACATTGCTAAAAAGCCTTGACTTTCGTTTTGTGACATTATGAATACCCCCATACCCTCGGTGTATAGCAAATCTATTACTTTATACTGCGAACACCCTGTTTCGAACAGCTGTTGTAATGCGTTTGTGCAACACTAAACACGGAAATGACCAACCCCATTGCATTTCTGTGCATAACCGTTAAAGTATAGTCACTTCTCAGCGTATTGTGAAAATTATTGCACTCGCTTATAAATTTAAATTACGACAAATCAGTGAAATTAAATGCATTAAATTGTAAAACTATGTGGTTGCCGAATGAAAAATTAACAGTGTCAACTCAGGTAAACAAAAGTGAAACATTATTCATTAATTATTGATTTTTCCCATATGTATGTGCCGCTGACTTTTTGCTTCGTCTCTGTGACTATGCAGCTACTACAATGCTTCATATGGAATATCCACACCAAGCCATCTATGCACCGTTAAATCAGGTGATTACAGATTCGGACGAGGAATCTGAGGAGGAAATACATAATAGCACGAAACATCCAAAGCATCAGCTATACCACCAAAAACAGGTGCATCAAAACGGAAGTGTTGTTGGTAAAAAAGAACCACCCAAGAGTCTTGCACTGCGACAATTGCAGAGCAACTTGAATACAGCACATTTCACGCATAACGACGATTCGCTTTCATCAACAAATCTAAGTGAGTGGACATACCGACACACATACATAAGTATAGTTTGTACGAGAAAATCTTTGTAATAGGATTATAGATTATACGCGGGAAATTTTTGATGCGTATGTATGTATGTACAAATCGCACACCGTCTTCAAAAGAGTCACAACTCAAAATTTGTAATTTTTGAAACTATGCGCTAAAAATGTACACAAAGCTTTTATTTACCTTTCAGCAAAAGCTGGAGCAAATTTTTGTTATAACTTGTTAAAAAAAAACTTAAGGTAACCCATATGATTAGCATGTGCTACGAAATAGTTTTTCGCATTTTCTGACGAACGTACTATTTTGAGTTGTGACCCTTTTGAAGATGGTGTGCGATAAGTACATACATATGTATGTAGGATTATAAAAATGTACGTGCATTTGTATGTATTCTAGCACGTACATACCTGTCTAAATTGCTCCAACCAAAGGACGATGTTTATAATATTAAGTCATTACATTGTTCTTTACAACACATGTATCTAAAAATGCAATGAGTGTTAGGAAAGGGATTGAATCACCATTTTGTAAATTGGATAGCAAGATGTCCGCAAAGCACTAAAAAATCAAGAAATATGAAGCTATATATTGGTTAGCTCTAATGTTTAAATTTTTAAAAACCCTTTGCTAGGATGTGGGGTTTCAATAGTATATTTAAACCAGTCAAGTCTTTCATAGCCTTTCATATGAAATGAACAAAAGAGTATCGTACATTATTAAGATCCCATAATATCCTAAATTTTTGTTTTTTATTTTACAGGCAACCAGACAATCAATAACCAAACCAGATCAGGACCACAGCCCAGCAGTTACACGACCAACATGCAGAACACTTTTAGATCCGTCATGATGTCCGATATTGGCCTGAATGATCAGGCCAGCAGTTTCTCAAGCTTTAACAGCGACTACGATGAGCGCAATCATATTGATGCAGATAATGTAGCCATTTTGGGACGTGGTAGCTTAAAGGATCTTAGCACTCATGAGCCTATGTCTCCGGCGCGGCGTTGTTGTTTTATATCATCACTGCTTTTATGCGTGTTTGCCATATTCGGTTTCGTGTGGCTGGTGCCCTGTAATGAAACATGTCCTGCGCCAGTAGATCAAGTACGCACACACAATTGGTTGAACAACTATACGAAAATCGAACTGAAGGGTGGTGTACACATTGTCGGCGGATTGCGAAGTTGGGAGAATAATTTAATATTCTTGTATCGTGGCGACGCCTTTTTTCCCAATAATAATAATGCAAAGCGTAACGGTATTATCTCGTTAATAGGCAGTTCGGGTGCTGTAGCCTGGTACGATGAGATGGTAGACGAACCTGTTGCTATCGATTGCACGCTGATAGACGTAGATCGGAATGGACGTTCCGATTGTTTGGTACTAGATGAGTTTGGTGAATTGAGCGCCATCGATCCCATTTCAGGCGAGTGGCACTGGCATTACAAAGAACGTTCGCCACACAGAGTAGATGCTTTGGACTTTCCAGTGATTTTACCAGATTTAGATGGTGATGGTGTTCTGGAGATATTAATGGTAACCAGTGTACCATTCGAGCTGCGTACACGTAATCTTGTGCACAAAGGTGAACTACGCGCTGGTAATCATCGTGTGGAGGAAAGAAATCTCTTACGTATACTATCTGGGCGTAACGGCAAGCCCATTGGTGATGGCTTTAAGTTGCAAGACTGTGACGTGGTGCATAAGCTGCAGTTGAAGAATCCTGAAAAAATAACCTTTAACTGTTGGCGCAATAATACAGAAGCGCAACGTTCGAAAACCTTAGCGGATTTATTTGCGCTTATAACGAACAAATCTATTGCCACTGGCCAGAAGTTATTGCCGGCATCGAAAATCGCACAACATCGCCACTACGGGCAACGTAAGGAAATCGATGCCCAGCGCAACATTTACTCGCTAAGTGGACGCGAACTGGTGGTGGAGAATCGCGGAAAATGTCCGGATGATTGCAATGTCACATTCGTGCTTCGCGAGACACGCAACAACAAAACTACTGTGCTGCGAAACTTTACAAATTCGGCAATGTATGGCATGGTGCCAGCGCAATGGCATTTCAAAAACACTGATAAAGAAAAGTCAGGCTTTGTAATCAAGTTTTGGAAGTGGAACAACCACAAAGAAACGCTTCGTGGACCAATCAAAGAGGATGCGACCGGGAATGCATACTCTACGCGCACTAACCAGGCTGCATATGCAAGTAAAAAGGCCAAGTCTCATGTGGGCAAAGAGAATACTACAAAAACAACGAAGCAGAATCATATCACAACAAATAAAACAAAACGACAAAGTGGGAATGAGAAACTACACAATGACCAGCAGCTGGTGCATGAGTTTCCCACAAACACGTTCAGTGCATTCGACCATCTCATACAGAAGAGGCACACATACACGCTACCCCTTGCGGAGCATAATGTAACACGCGTACGACGCAGCAGCAGCAGCAGTAATTTGCTGCTCAATAATTACAAAATGCAAATGATTACAGAAACTGTAATGCTGGTGATTTTCGTGGGCGCTGAATATCGCATCGAAAATACCTCGCAGAGCAATATTGTGCAATTTTGTCGCAATGATCATAATGAAGTCATCTGCCAGCCGGATTTGAACAATCAGGAGAATTCGATGCTAATAGCCGATTTCGATTCGGATGGGTCACAGGAATTGGTTTCATATTCTTCAACATTTACACAGCACGGCGAGGATCCGGAAGATTGGAAATTAGTCACTTATGTGCGATTGTTGAGACTACAAGCAGAGCTGCCCGGCATCTATGGCGAAAAGCAACTCGATTAAAACAGTTTATATGTGATTCGATTTTAGTTTTGATGATAGTGAAGAGGGAAAGTCATTTTGTAGCCAATGTTATAAATACTCGTACATATAAGTACACAAACATACATTTGTAGTATATCCAATTGTTCTCATATATATTTTATAAGTATACCAAATTAAAAATCTATATAGTACATTATATACACATAGCAAATCTACTAGTTGACTACATAGTAAATACGCTTTAAACATACAGACATAACATATAAAGGAAAATAAGCCGGTAGGCTTATTTTATAGACATACGACGACAATGCTACAATAAGTTGTCCTCAGCAGAATAATTTATATCAAAATAACCAAACGACTTGTGTAAATATTTTTCCAACTTCTCCTATGTATGTTATATTATACAAAAGCGATTCAATTTGAATCAAACACGCAATAACTTCAAAGATTATTAAAATTCGCATACATAGCTAGCACTGTCGTCGTACGTCGAACTACTTGACCTAAACTATTGTATTTACATAATTACATACATACATAATTAGCGAATCAATCTAAATATTACCAAAACTTTTTCAAATAAACGTCGCTCCAAAGTTATTTAACTTCAATTTGTATGGCAACACAAACCCTTTTTACCTAACAATCTTCTCCGTTGACTACGCGGGCACAGTTACAGCATCAAAGCATAAGTCGCTGAATTGCATTGTCGAATCGGCTGGAGTTGTCAGTAGTAAGTGACTCTTAACTTTTATTTTAGTTTTTGCCGGCAGCTCACCTACATTATTTTGCGTACTTTTCTTGCTGCACGGCTCTTCTCTATCAGACGTTTCTTTTTGACCATTCTGATTTGCATGTTTAACCTGATGTACATCGAACATAGCCTTGTTTATGGTAGCAAATGTGCAGATTTTGCACTTATACACAATCGAATCGGCGACTTGTGGATGCTTTTGTTGCACGTGTCTCTGCAAGAGGAAAATGGTATTTATTTAAAATTTTTCCTTTAATATAAATATAATATAATATTGATAAAAGATATGTTTCATTACCTGGTAAGCCACACTTTGTATTGACTTGTAGTCACAGTGCGCGCAGGAGTACATTTTTGCATTCATATCATGCGTCATTTTGTGACGCCGAAACGCATTATGATCGCTAGAAGAATAATCGCACATACTGCATTTAAAACGCCTAGAGGGCTCATGTGACTGCATGTGTAATTTTAAAGAGGAGCGCGAAGTGAGTACCCGCTCACATACCTCACATTGCACCGCTGCAGCGCCATTCTTGCACAAATGCTCCCGTAATGTTCTCTGATGCGAAAAGACTGCATCACAGTCCTTACATCGATGAAAATTGCGTTCGGACGTTGAAAATACTGTTGCAACTGTGGTTGAAAGCGATGTCGTCGCTGGATCTTTGCTTTCAGCATTTGTTGCAATATCTTTCTTAGTGCGCTCGGGCTTCAATGTCATCGTGGAGGATGCTTTGTTGTGGTTGCGATGCCAACGTCGATGATTTTTCAATTGTTTGGTATTCTTAAAGGCCTTTTCACACTGATCACACTTGTAGTTGCGCTCATCGTAGTGGATTTTGGAATGTGTATTTAGTAGACGCGAATAGATAGGAGTTTTGAAACTACACAACTCACAACTGTATAGCTCCATGTCAATTTTATGAGTACGCCAAAGATGTGTGTGCAATGAATTCCAATTTGTGAAAGGCGCTTTGCATTCTGGACATGCCATGCTCACTGGTGAAGAATCGCTGGAATAAAACAGAAACATATATGTATGTGTGTATGTATGTAGCAAATACGACAATATGTATACAAATTTAGATTTCAGTGATCGGGTTTTATATATCGCACCTTAAATTATGCTTAATTTATCAAATCAAAAAATTATTTTTTACTATAAAGCAGTTCACAGACCATATTTCAAACGTCCGCAAAATTTCTTCTTCATAATTTTGCTGGCGTCGTTTGCGCAGCTTCAACAGTTTTTTGCCGCTTCTGAACATTTGGACTTTTTTGAGTTGACGGTTTTTGATTTAGGGTGTGATATGTATGTAGGTCGGATTAATCTACGTGTGTCTTTCTTACCTGCTATGACATTTTATGTGGTATTCGAGAGTGTTCGACTTCTTAAACCGGAAAGCACATCCCGTTATTGTGCACTTCAGGTAAACGCCATCTGCGTTTCCGTTCTGCGGGTGCTTGCGCATCTTGGTTATGCCTGTACGATTTGAGCCAAACGGCCGCCCACGCACGGAGGTTCCGCCCGTGACCGAAACAGCAATTGGCGTTTTATTTTTTGTTTGCTGTTTTTCTAGCTCTTTTGTTTTATTAGTTGTGGTTGTTGATTTCTGCAACAACAAATTGGCGCTAGGTGTTTGCATTAGATTATTTGCGACATAGATGCGACCACGTTCCGCATGCGCTGTTACTGTGCTAGTTGCACTGAAAGCGGCGACAGGTTTTGGCAACTGAATCGGCGGTAACATTGGCACAAGTGGCGGTACTGGTAAACCAGTTGGTTGGTTGGCAATGGTTGTTGCTGTATTTACGGTATTATTTAAGTTATATGTTACAGAGCTCATTGGAGTGAGTGGTGGAATGTCAGAAAAGTTTGTTGCTGTGTTACTTTTTTGAGGCAGCGCTGTTGTAGTTTGTGCACCAGGCGTGGCTTGATTTAAGCGTTCCTGTTTCAAATCTTCTGTAGCGCCTGCTAACTGATCTACATCCATTGTTACAGGCGCTTTCCGCGCCTGGGGCAAAGTATCATGACAAACTGCGTTGGTGTCCACTGGATTATTATCAACGTCACAAATTGATGCTGATAAAGCATCATCAGTTTCGGCGATTTCACATTCGAATGAGAAGTGTGCGTTGTCTTGTGGCTGTATCACACTTGCTGGCAATGCAATATCTTCCTCTGTTGCTTGTGTCATTGTACTGATATTGATCCCAACGTTTGTCCCGGTGAGCTCTTCCATATCTGGTATTGAAATGAGTGAAACTTGCGGTGTATCCAAATCATGTATTATCTTTTGCGATGTTGGTATACTTGGTGTCATAGTGCTAGTTATTATTTCCCGGATATCATCACCCAGATCGTAGTCATCATGCCAACTGTTTTGTGTGGAAAATTCGTTCAGCTTAAAACCTTCGCATCCATATGATATAGCCTCGATTGCATTGCTGTCGGTGCACTGTTCAACCGCAGACGTTTCACCACTCCCATTGTTCAATTGCGTGAAATTGTCGCTGATGTCCTCTTCACCCAAGCTAGACTGATTGCCCTCTAAATTAGGCGCTATGAGATTTTCAACTTCTTTTCTATTCATTAGATTCAATTCATCGACTGTGCGCAGGTGTAGCAAGCCGCGCGGCTCCTGGAACTGTGGTTCTTTCAAAATGTCAACATTTTTAATAAAAATTTTCTGTTTTGGAATATTGGTCGGCGTTGCAGTCTGTGTAGCTGGTTGGACATCTTTCGCAAAAGTGTTTATATGTTCGTTAATTATGTCCATTTGCTGAGGTGGCGGCGTAGGTTCAATCATAATTGGAGTTATCGTATCCACATAACGACTGGATTCCATTAAAAAGTTGTCCGAGTTCGCTTCGTTTCCATAAGTGAATGTGTCAGCAGAGGTAGCTGTTGTCGTATTAACCAAAAAGTTGCCGCCCCCATTATCAAAGAGATATTGATCAGATATAGTGCCAAGAGGAAGTTGAGACATTCCACCATTAAATGGCGGCACCGTAGGGTTTAAGCTTTCCACATTTTCAAGGTAGGAGGTAGCGATTTGTGGTAGCGAAGGTTGCATAAAATTGAAATTCATCACATTGCTATTGGACTCCGTAACGTTAGGCACATTTATACTGTTAGAGAATGTCATAGGCTCTTTAAGGATGTCTACATTTTTAATATAAATTTTAGGTTTCCTAGGTTTTTCGTAGCAACTTGTAAAATTAGTGATGTCAGCTTCGTTAGTGCTGCCTACCAGTGGTTCCCTATTCGAGGTCATTGCATAATTACTATATTGTACATCGTTGTCATCGGCTTCTCCATCATTTTCTTCACAGATGTTACCGGCATCATGTAAATTCAAAACGCTACAAATGTTATTGAAATCGTCAAATGCTTGCATCTCATAATCACGTCGCATTAGCGCAGGTTCGCGCAACACGTCGACACTTTTAATAGAAATCTTTTGTTTAGGTGGATTCACTGGATTATTTACTTCAACGGGTGCTGTTATTGCTTCATTAGCAATATTGTCAATATTATTGCTTTTGCTGTGAAGATTTTGTTCGCCACTGGTGAGTATACCTATAATGTCCTGATCTTCCATACTAATGCTACCAATATTTGCCAAGGTATTGCTATCATCGTTGTCAAAGTGAAAGAGACTATCACTAATAAGGTTATCTTGTTGCTCGATAGGATCTCGATGTGGTTCTCGCAAACATTCAACATTTTTCAAGTAAATTCTACTACGTCGCTGCGTTCCGTTCATTGAATTGACATTGGGGATAATTTCATCCGAGTTATTTACGTTATTTGTTGCATTTGAATGTTGTGGATTTGAAATATTTTTTTTAATAGCCTGCATTAGTTCAATTACATCCTGCTCCAACATTAAATGGTCTTCCCTCAAGTGAATTTCTAAAGAAACCAAAGCGAAAAACACGTTCTCACAACCTAAAACCAAAAATGTTTATCAATTGCCGAAATCTTTTCAAAACTATCTGCGGTAATATTTGCTGTTATCAACAATAAGCAATTCTACTTACCTGGGCACTGAACTGATTTTTGTTTTGTTGCACTTTCACACAAATGCATATTTTCCTGATGCATTGCTTTAACGTGAAGCTGTAAACCACTTTCACTTAAACTTATAAACGCACAATGTTGACATCGGTGAATAGCAAGATGTGTAAATGTAATATTCTCCAATCCAGCTGAACTATCATTATTCGACCCAAATGCGTTTTCGTTGCTGCAGTCCTTGTTGGAAATTACATTTTTCTGGCAAACGTCCTTTTCAGCTTGGATCAAGTTTTTAGCTGCATTATTTTCACTGCGCTGTTGTGCTGATTCTGGAGGTGTGGGTGTTGCATTTATCCGCTCTTTGGCACCATCAGCGTTTTCCGACTTAATTGGCTCTGCCTTTATCTCTTCATGATTACTGGAGGCATTGCGTCGAAATCGTGCATTATTATTTGCACTCTGCGGCTGCACGTCTGTGGTATGGATTTGTACGAATGGAATTTGTGTAAAACCATTTCTGCCAACACCATTACTGGAAACACCATTAGTGGAAACACCGTTATTGTTATTGCAACTGAAACCGATTGGCGCAGAATAAGTCGTTTGCGCCGTAACATCACCCGTGGTCATAAAAGAATTGTTGTATGTAGTAGAATGATGATAGCGGCGTGGAGTTTCGTGTTGTGATGGCTGCGATGTTGTTTTATGATAATCTGCCTCAGTCGAAGCATGCACCAAAGTTGCGGCCGCCATTTCCGCTGACAAGTCTGATGGCTACAATATAGTTAAAGCAATAACAATACTGTTGCATTTAAGTAATCCTTTGCGCGGCTCACCAAACCAGGACCACTATAGAAGGTCTCATAGCTGGAGATAACAGCTTCGTTCATAGTTACCAATATTTTGTAATACTATTCCCTAGTCAAATTTTCATTGAATGAATAATAAAAAAGAGGAAAAGAAATTTTTTTCTTTAAGAAAGACGAAATAAAGAGCACAATAAACAGCTGGCAACGATAAGCAAAACAGAATGAAAAATGATAACAGGTTTCGATTATCTTTGAGTAGAATAGTGACAGTACCTGGTATGTTTATCCGCGGTCTTCACGTGCATGAGATCGGGACGCCTTTCAGAATATGATATTTGTTCATACATATATATATGTTTTTAAATTGAGAAATGACAACAAGGGGCCAAAAAACATCAAAAGTTTTTCTGCTTTCTAATATCTTGTCATATTTGTCCAAACCCTGTCCATGATAAAAACATTAAGGTAAATTCTTTCCATCTCATAAGCTGGTAACAAAGTATTGCCCCGTGAAATATACAATGCCAGAATTTGCACAATTCCTCATAGCTGAATTGCTGAATATTTTAACTGCATTACGAACGTACCTAGACTCGCGGTGACAACAGCAGTAACATTTTTTGGTAATACAATTTTTCGGTTACAAAATCTTCGGTAACGTACAGAATAGCCACTTTAAACGCACAATTTAGGTAAAATTATGCAACAAAATGCTTTAAAATGTGTTGTCATGTTGAATTAACTCTTCTTTACTTGAATAAAAGTGTAAAATAGTGGTGCTTGTGATGTAAACAAACGCTCAGCTGACGAACCCGCTTTCGCAAACTTTTTTCTCAAAACCAGTTACAAATACAACGTCGCGTTCTTACGTGATCTTGTATTTTTGGTTCATGGGCCCTTAGGTGATTTGATAAGCAGGTTTGATATAATTGGGAGTAGGATTTTCAACATCGATCTTTCCGATATCGTTATTGTTCAGCCCGATATATCGCCATATCGATTTTACATGCAATGAATTAAATCTACTCATGATATCGATATTTTCTTAAATATCAAACATTCCTAGTATATACTGTGCTTTTAATTGGACAAAAGTCAGGAGTTATCCGGAAAAACCGATTTGGATATAAACAATCAACTTTTGAGACAGGTTCAAGTATTTAACTAATACAGCAAAATGCCCCGAATCATGATAAAAGGTGGGGTGTGGAGGAACACCGAGGTAAGTTCTCGATGAGCTACTGTGGTCGTCGGGCTAAACTAAATGTCTTGATTTATAGGATGAAATTTTAAAAGCAGCGGTTATGAAATATGGCAAAAATCAATGGTCCCGTATTGCGTCCCTTCTGCATCGTAAGTCCGCTAAACAGTGCAAGGCCCGCTGGTACGAGTGGCTAGATCCCAGCATTAAGAAGACCGAGTGGTCACGGGAGGAAGATGAAAAATTGCTGCATTTGGCTAAGCTAATGCCCACGCAATGGCGTACAATCGCGCCTATTATTGGACGAACGGCGGCGCAGTGCTTGGAGCGATATGAATATTTGCTGTAAGTTATAAGTGAACATGCACAATTGTGTGAGTAATATTAACATTATTACTTACAGCGACCAAGCTCAACGCAAGGAAGATGGGGAGGATGCTGGAGACGATCCACGTAAATTAAAGCCAGGTGAAATCGATCCAAATCCAGAGACAAAACCTGCCCGCCCCGATCCAAAAGATATGGACGAAGATGGTTTGTACATATGTTCGTTTATAAATTATTACATTAATTAAACCATACATATTTTGGTTTTTGATTAGAATTGGAAATGCTATCAGAAGCGCGTGCACGTCTTGCCAACACACAAGGCAAGAAGGCTAAGCGCAAGGCTCGCGAAAAACAGTTGGAAGAGGCTCGACGTTTGGCAGCATTGCAGAAGCGTAGAGAGCTTCGTGCTGCGGGTATTGGCAGCGGCAACCGAAAACGAATCAAAGGCATTGACTATAATGCAGAAATTCCATTCGAAAAACGTCCGGCTATTGGATTCTACGATACATCAGAAGAAAACGTCGAAAAACTTGGGCCGGACTTTAACAAGATGCGTCAACAAGATCTAGATGGTGAGTTGCGCTCAGAAAAGGAAGAGCGAGAGCGAAAGAAAGATAAGCAGAAACTGAAGCAACGCAAGGAGAACGACATGCCCTTAGCTATGCTACAAAATTTGGAACCCGAAAGGAAACGATCGAAGTTGGTGCTGCCTCAGCCGCAGATTTCAGATCAGGAATTACAGCAGGTTGTCAAGCTTGGGCGTGCTAGTGAAGTAGCTAAGGAGGTCGCAGGTGAAAGTGGAGTTGAAACCACAGATGCACTGTTGGCCGATTACTCTATAACACCGCAAGTTACAGCGACGCCACGCACCCCTGCGCCATTTACCGATCGCATAATGCAGGAGGCCCAAAATATGATGGCCCTGACACACGTAGATACGCCATTAAAAGGTGGGCTTAACACACCATTACACGAATCCGATTTCTCTGGAGTACTACCAAAATCAGCTACAATTGCAACACCCAACACTGTAATTGCCACACCATTCAGGTCAGTATCCATAAAGTTGAGAATACATTAGTGAGCAAAATTTTGTATACATTTTTTTTTATGTATAGAACACAACGCGGAGGCGAGGCGGGCACACCTGGATTCGCGACCCCGGCTTCCAATGCACTTGTGCCAGTAGGCAAAACACCGCACGCTGGCTTGGGTCAAACCCCCATACTCGTTCGAGACAAACTAAGCATTAACCCAGAAGACAATTTAAACGTCGGCGATACGCCAGCAATTTATAAAAATTATCAAAAACAACTGAAAAGCTCCTTACGCGAAGGCTTAGCAACGCTGCCTGCTCCGCGCAATGATTACGAAATTGTTGTGCCAGAGCATGACGATCAAGAACCTTCTGAGGCAACCGCGGTAAACGTGGTCGAAGACCAAGCAGATGTAGACGCCCGCGCAATAGCAGAGGAAAATATCAAACGCAAGCGGGAGCTGGAGAAACGTTCACAGGCTATTCAACGCCAACTGCCGCGTCCAACTGAAGTCAACACCAAGATTTTGCGCCCTCAATCTGAAAAGCAAAATCTCACTGATATGCAAAAAGCCGAAGAGCTGATTAAACATGATATGATCACAATGCTTTTATATGATTCGGTGAAAGATCCAGTGCCAGGACAATCACAAAACAAAATTGAACAGCTACAAAGTTACTTCAAATCGAATCCCTATGAAGAATTCAAAAAGCTAGATTTAGAGAAGGCGGGAAACTTGATCAAAGAAGAAATGGAAGTTGTTAAAGAGGGCATGGGACATGGCGATTTACCGATGGATGTCTACTCGCAAGTGTGGCAAGAGTGTTTGGGCCAGGTGCTTTATTTGCCGTCGCAAAACCGATATACGCGCGCAAATTTGGCAAGCAAGAAAGACCGTTTGGAATCGGCCGAGAAGCAATTGGAGCAAAACCGGCGCCATATGGCTAAGGAGGCTAAGCGTTGCGCCAAAATTGAAAAGAAACTAAAAATCTTAACCGGCGGCTATCAAGCGCGCGCACAGGCAATGATCAAGCAGTTGCAAGACACATACGATCAAATCGAGCAAAATTCACTGGCCTTGTCAACGTTCAAATTTCTGGCCGAGCAGGAGGCAGTGGCCATACCCAGGCGTTTAGAGGTATACGGTGATGTTGCTCTTACTTTTCCATTATACTAATTAATAATTTTTCTTTTTTCCAGTCGCTGCAAGAGGATGTGCGTCGTCAGATGGAGCGTGAAAGGGAATTACAACAGAAATATGCTAATTTGCGCGAGGAGCTTGAGCAAGCGCAACAAGAAATAGAAGCCTATAAAAACAGCGAGCAGAATACGGATTTTGCAAATTGATTGCATTACCAAAGCTACAAACAATTCAAAAGCTAATTGCAAACTATAAACTCGCTGCTTAAGTTAAAATAAAACAAATTCATTCTACTTTCAATCTAAGCGGATGTTTTTTTTTTTATTTTCTTTTACATTAAAATAGGCCCATTCAGCTTTTGAAATGAGTGGGTCCGTTATATGTAGCTGTGAGTACGGGGATACAATAAATATTTTATTTGGTGCTACAATACTAGTAAGTTGATAAATCTTTCTTAATGGAGCTAAATTATGCCTACAATTTTTCATTCGTCATCCACGCTTCGTAGACGCAATGTATGTAATTTCTAAAGGATTAAATGATCAAATATCGCGATAAAAGCATGCCACTTCTGTGGCATGTGTAACTTGCTAAACTTTTGTATGCATTTCTCATGTCTTAAAATATCTGTCTCACACATTTTTATACATATACTACATTGATATTGCGCATATGGTTAGACGTATCTAATTGATAGCATGCAAATCGTACAATAAAAATTTAGAATTGCGTTGCAGCACTTGTGTGTAAATTCATTTTTTTTTATCAATTGTCTTGGTGATTTTTTTGGCTGGTAATTATACAAAAAAAAATACCTTCATATTTGAATTGTCTTAATGCACCAAAAGGCAAGCAAAGATAGAAGTGCAAAAATTCCGTAAAATTTACCAAAAATATACGCAATTCAATGCACTAACACAATATATGATTAAATCGAAAGTAATTTAGTTGAATATACATACATTGAACAATTCCGCATTTAAAATGCGCCCGAAACATTGCGTACAAAAACTCTATCTAAAGAATTTCTATGAGCAATTATGAAATATAAGCATACATATACATATATTGATTTAAATATACTATGTTTAATGTGGATTAAGAAAAGAGTGGTACTACTCATACGTGAATAAGTGGTACAAAAGCACTAAAAGCACTAAACAAAGTATTTATACAATAGAAAATAGTTGGATAGCAAAGGTTCATGGCGGTCACCAAAAACATTTTGGCCTGTTCTCACCTACATACATATGTATGTATATAAATCGATTTAACCATGTCAACTATATACTGCATTTAATGGCTGGACAAAGTGTATGTATATGTAAAGATTAGTAATATATGTTTTTGTTGGCTTGTTAGCAACAAAAATTAACAATACGCGTTTAACATGGCTGTAGATGTGTATGATATATTAATAATTATTGTTAATTGTCTCCAACATCATCCAGAGCAGCACTGGAGCGTGACAACTTCATATACGCAGCACAAATGCACTCACACACAAATCGATATTGGCTCTGAAAATTGAAAATAACCAAAAAATTAACCCATTTATTCAGCAATTGCCTAAATTCAGTGCATATATATATTTGAGCCACTTACCACATTTTGCACCATACAGGCACGCTGATCGCGCATTGTGCGCACTATGTCCAGCGGATAAACGGGCTCT